GTTCAGTGGTTTATGAGAGTTTTGGGAACAGACATTATCGACCAGCATTCAGCAGCAAATGATGACGTGCTCTTATTGATTACTCATATGAGCTGGATCATTCTTAAATGACGTATTACTGCAGGCTGCTGCGTGTCTGCATTCAGGGTTCAGTTCTACAACCATAGGTACCTGCTCAATGGAGCAGCCAGGTGGAACAGCTGAAGTTCAAAGGGTCAAACTTTTTGCTCCCCCACTTTATGACTTAAAACCTATCACTCACACCAATATTACTTAAACATATCCTGTTTCATTTTATTTTATTTTACCTTTGTAACAAGCTTTTAAAAAAATCAAATCTCTGCAATTTAGACCGTCAGCTTTATGTTGACTCAAATTCAGTGACACACCATAGCTACTAGCTTGTTACTCACACAGCAATCAGCTGTGGTAAAGGGAAAAAAGGTATATATTTAAGCTTAAATCTGTGCTGCATCTTTTTTCTGGCTATGACTAGACAAAAAGGAGTAAGAACAATGAGATCAAGCTGTTTGTAAAAATTGGGAATATAAATCCCTTATTGCTAATCTCATCTAGCTGGGGATAACCACTGGTGATCATTATTTTTGGATTGAAGAAAGTCTAGGCTAAAATAGGGCATAAAAATAAAAAGTCGGTGCATGTCTACATCTGGTTAATGAACAATGGCGTCTCACCTTGATCTGTTTTAAAAAATCATAAATCATCAAGTCCTGATGCATGTAGTGAACTAAGCCTAAGGTCAGGATTTGACCTTAAGGACCATATGGGACATAACTTGTCATTTCATTGATTTGCATCCAGAAATACAGGTTGACCCATCCTGAGACTTTCTTTCTTGAACCAATCAAGTAAAAAAAGACTATTCTCTATTATCATTACTATTTTACAAATGTTTGATAATCAAATTGTGTTAGTTCAAACAATGTTTGAATGTTGAAGTGAACTACTCATTTTTTATTAACTGTGAAACAGTCATAATGATTCTTAATCCTCATTCAAAGTGAAATCAAGTTGGAATACGTTACAGAGTAATGATTCAATTTCTTGATTTTCTGTCTTCAATGAGCGAAGTTGTAAGTGTGTCGAAGTTCAAGTTTCGGTCAACTGAAAGTTTACTGAAAAGAAATGTCATGTTTAACTTTTACAGCAAGATACTGGAGAATTGGCTCCACGAAGTCTGGTTTCTTCATAATATCTTTTTGTCTGTTCTTAAACAATCTTAATCTTTTCCTTGACTTTTCATAACACCTTACATCACAAAACACACCTCTGTTTGGGTCCATTGACCAATCAGAAACTCCCAGATGAACCGGAAATAGAGCTCTTTAAAATGTCGGTACTTCCTAGTTGAACTGGAGAAGTTTGAGTCGACAGTAGAGTTTGGAGGCGAGTTGGGAAACAGGAAAATCCTGACATGACCACAGAGCTCTTCCGAGTCTTATGGGATTATAACATTTTCCACCTCTGGGTGGAACTCTGACGGACTCCACTCGTGAGTCCACTCGTGAGGTGAACCTGTGTCGGACGGAATACCGTCACTACTTCGGACGATTCACAGCTGTTCCTACGGAGACGCTGAAAGGGTGCGTTAAATGGAACTTCGTACCAGGGACATCTCCAGGTAAAAAGTTGATTTATAACACCTAAGTGTACTGGGGAAGAAGCTGAAAGAGCCCGGAGAGTGCCGTTCTGAATGCTGACACAAACAAACCCCTCACCCATCCTTTTCTCCCTTTAAACTTCATCTTTCCATCTTTAAACTCTCCTATCTGCTAGCAAATTAATCCAGATATTTTTAGAAATGTCTGAAGCAAAGTTTTCACCACCGCCGTGTGGTAATACCTGCTGTTTTGTTGGAAGTGAGAACGATCGCCGCATTGTTCACTTCCTGTAAACTGATTAATAGCTGTCGTTATTCTCAATTCTTGCCAATTAATGTAAATGTGTGATGTGTTAAACTTAATTCTGTTAATAAATGACCCACTGTCGTGGTGAGTCAAAGATAATTAACGTCTCACGTCCACATTTTATTACATTCAATGCACGTACATTATACAGTCCAGAAAAATGAAAGAATCCGTTTTAACAGTATGAATATATCTCATCAATATGTCATACTACATGCATGCTCAATAATCCAGCTAGATAAATCTAACAAAGTTCAGTCAGGTCCTCTGGACAGGTTCTTCTTTGTTGAAACGTTTCATTTTGTTTATCAAAACGACTTCTTCAAGTCTGAGGAGCTGCAACAAACTCAGTCTTATAAACAGCACCTTCTCCAGCACCAACAAACTGGTTGATCCACAATAAGATGCAAAGCACCACAGACTGCACCAGAAGTGCTACAGCTGCTACCACTATTTGCACTTGCACTACAAAACTAAAATTTTTATTAAAGGTACATAAAATACCTTATTTTTACTTCATTTTTATTTTGTTCAGGTCTTCTGGATGGTTTCTTTATAAGAATCCGTCCAGAGGACCTGACTTAACTTTGTTAGATTTTTTTACCTGGATTACTGAGCATGAATCATGATGTTTTGAAACCACCTGAGCACCATCAAACTGGTTGATCCACTGTGAGAAGGTGCTGACTGAGTTTCTTGTGTCTCCTCAGACTGATGAAGTCTTTTGGATGAAAGACTAAACGTTTCAACAAAGAAGAATCCATCCAGAGGACCTGACTTAACTTTGTTAGATTTATCTACTTGGATTATTGAGCATGAATCATGCATATGAATCATATATACAATAGTGTTAACACAAACTGCTATGACTTTTTTAGATTAGATTTGTTTTGTCCCTTGCAGGCCACTTTGATTTAGGCTCCACGTGGACTTTAGCTGCCCTTCGATGAGTAAATACAGTACGTTGTACTAAAAATATTCAGAGTATTTTATTTTTTATAGATTTTTTTTTGGCCATTCTGTGGACAAACCTCTACAAGGCCGTGCATTCAGCACTTTCTATTGTGATCGTATTCAACTTTCTCTCACCCTTTAAGCATTGCACACATGGCTGATCAGCGCTCTCTGAACACAGGTTGGGATTATGTCTGAGTTGTGATCCTGTTCATTCAGTCCATGCTGGCCTTGTCTGTTGGTCCACAAGGAACGTCACACAGCAGCACTGCAAACGTCTGACAACACCAAAGTGAACACACATCATGGGCTGGGACTGCTGTTTCCACTTAAATTCACATTGAATTGACAGCGTTGTTCAAGAGTTTTGTGAACCTCATGAAACAAGGTAACAACAGTACAACTGAGAAATCTGGAACATAAATTCAGGGCCTCTCCTCAGTTCAGGAATCATTTTGTCATCCAGTCTTTGTTACTACTGTGAATGAAAAATATATTAATTCCAAATAACCTTTATTATATTTGTGCAAATTTCATTCAGTGTTTATAAATCCAAAGGTGTTATGTCTTCATGCAAATATTTTGACAGATGGATCAGAAGTTGCAGCTTCTGCTCGGGGCAACTGGGCGGATGTGGGTCAGCCTCGTCAGTGTGTGTCTCTGGGTTCATCCACACTCTGATCACGAGAGCGTACAAGATTGACTGGCTTGTGGTCTAACTGCACAAATCACAAGTCTAAAGGTTTTATCAAAATCTGAATCAGAATCAGAATAAACTTTATTATCATTGCACCGAGATACAACGAGAACACGTACAAGTCGTCCGAAAGATGGGCTGAGTGCACGAAGCTGCTACTATGAAAGCGCGGCCCTTTTATTCTTATTCAGAATAATATTTTGCTTAGATGAGAAAAGGGAAGAAAACATGAGGAGAGACGGTTTAAAAAAAGATCTCTCACGCCGTGTCCTAGACAGGGCACAATTTGAGGCATAAAAAAAGCTACCACAGCAAAGCAACATAAATAGACGTTATACATGAACATATAGGCCGGTGAAGACATTGAATTTTTAAGTTGTATAAACCCAATGCTCTGTTTTGTCTGGGTCACAACTCCGACAGACCCCCAGAGTTCTGCAGGACCTGCTACCTGCCATATATAGCATTAAAATATACAATTTTATTTGTTTCTATATTTAATGTTTTACCTTTTAATAAATCACCACAAAAAACAGTTAACTTGTTTACTTTTGAGTCCTCCATTAAACCATAAAATTCAGCACTATATGTTAATATATTTCAAAATCTTTCGATAAACTTTAAGAATATATTTTAGCAAAAAATCTTTATTGCCTTTAATGCCAGCGTTTTAGACAAACATTTTAGATCCACTCAAATCTGGTCAGTGATTCATGAGCAATTTTGCTGACACAGACACACACACGCACACACACAAAAAAAAAGTTTGTCTTTCTACATGTGGATTTTTCATTGACTTCCATTCATTTTTCATTCATTTCTTTAGCCAAACCCTGACCATCACCCTAAACCTAATCATACCAGTACATATCTTACCATAAACATAACCCATCCTCAATTCACACCTTAGTCCTAAACCTAACCGCTAACCCACCAAATGACACTTCTTCTGATGGGGCCCAGGCTTTGGGTCCCATAAGGAGCACAATCCTCCTCACAATGGTCTTCACAAAGTAGTGTCTGTTGGAAAAATGGACCTTACAAGGTAACAAATACAAAGACACACACACACAGATAAAGACGTTATTTCTCCTCTTTGACCTTCAGCGACAGGGGATAAAATGTATACATTGATTATGTGTTAGATCAAAATTGACCCTGACATGTGTCGTGAATAAACCGTAAAGAACCAAAGTCACATTGTGCTCCTGTGCAATATGTTTGTTCTCATGTTAAGGATATACTGGTTTGGACACGTATTGGAGCTTTATATTTCATCAGCAACATAAAACATCATCTTTTGAGGATTTACTCTAAATGAGCTTTTCATTACTCTTGTGGACTCTTAATGGAAGATCATAAACTAGCCTCTTTTTAATTATGTTTTTCTTTTCCTCCTCTCCTCCTCCTGTTGGTCTCAGCTGTGTTTTCCATCATTGGGAACCTACTGGTCCTCATCATGGCTTTTAAAAGATCAGCAAGGATGAAGCCTCCGGAGCTGCTGAGCGTCAATCTGGCTGTGACAGACCTGGGAGCAGCCGTCATCATGTACCCCCTGGCCGTAGCCTCTGCCTGGAGCCACCACTGGGTGGGGGGAGATGTTTCCTGCGTTTACTACGGCCTCGTAGGCTTCTTCTTTGGCATCGCCAGCATCATGAACCTCACCGTGTTGGCCGTTGTACGCTTTGTTGTGTCCCTCAACCTGCACTCTACCAGTAAGTAACTCATGGCTTCAAACTGCTGCATTAAAGAGATAGTTCAGCTCTTTAAACGTGAGGTTCTGTGGAAACGTTACCTGGTTTAGATGCCTGTTGAGTTTGTCTGACAGAAAAATAAAATAAAGTTAAACAGACGCATATCTTTGCACTAATCTGGGGCAAATAAATATTCGTCTTTTAATATTACTATTGTTTAATTATGAGAACCAGCAGAAACACGAATCTCACAGAGACACTGAAATAGGCTGCGCGCTCCCTCCAGGGCCAGACATTTGGTCACACGTGCACGTTGGACATGTCTGTATGGAGATGACAACGCTCCGAACACATTAACGTTTAAAACAAAGCTACAAAAGTCCCAAGGAGGTGGGGGGCGTGGTGCAAGAGGTTTGACCGTGTGAGCAGGATTGGTGACAGCTGTGCGACTGCGTGGTTTGTTTACAGCGTATGTCTCTGCGCTGAGCGCTTTGAAACCGAGAGGGGCTCACAGCTGAGCGGCTGCTCGCTCAGTTAGGAACAATGCACGTGGGCTCAATGTACAGCAGATGGTGCATCAGTATTTGCTAAAGAAACATATTGGTTATACAGGACGTGACAAAAAAAAAATCAACTTTTTTTTTCCCCCTTTTTAAAAGGTGCACACAATTCTTTGACCCTCCCTTCAAGCATATGATTTGTAAGTGTAGGAGTTATGGTTTTTGTCCCCTGTTGTCTAGCCCCCTGGTGTTGTGTTTATGTCTTGCTTTCTTCCCATTCTCTGTTTCTATCTTTATAGGGTTTGTGTTTTCTTAGTATCTGGCTCCATCTTGTGTCATGTTTATGTATTGCGTCCTCAGTCTCTGTCTTTGGCATCTGTGATTACTCACAGGTGTCTTCACTTGGTCTAATTGGTGTTTGCTGTAATTAAGCCTGTGTGTTTGTTTCACTCCTTGTTCTGGCATTATCTTCTGTCCAGTGGTGATGACATGTCTCTTTTGTGAGTATCTCCTGATCATTCTATGTTTGTTTTGCTGCCCTGTCAGCTCTTTTATTTTGTTAATAAATTATTTATTTTATATATTCATCCTGAGTCCTTGCCTGCTTGCCTGCACCATTGGGTTCACCAGCACCAGCCATTTGTGACAATATGCTTGTGAAAATGTTGAAAACTGTGAATGACCCATATGGGGGATCTTGTGCCCTCAGTTAGCCCTCTACATATGGGTAGAAGATGACTGTCAGTTACCACATCAAACTTTAGCTTTAACTCTGTAAATCTGACCAAGTTATAGCCAACTTTGTGTTAGCTAGTTAGCTGTGACACCCATCTTAAATTGACACCAAAAGGTAATCAGTTACAGACTTACATCTGATAACTACAGTCTGAGGGTTTCATTAAAAACTGCCCAGTGGTTTGAGAAATTTTGCTAACAGACAAAAGAACTGACACCGGCAAAAACTCCATATTATCGCTGTTTTGTTTTCTTCCACAGGCAATAATTCTGAAGTTATTCATTGAGTTTCTGATGTTTTGTTCGTGTCACTTGTGGGAGCAACTCTGTTTATGCAGTAAATGAGCAGAATTAAAATGCTTCATCTTCGAGTGAAGGATTACCAAAGAACAGGCTCAACAAATCACACAGTCTGGACAAACACTTCAGACCTGGATCTTATAATAATAAATCAGGTTAATTTAAGATTCAACAACACGGAGCCTGAAGACAAGCCTCCATCAGCACAGGGCTCTCGGGTTAACACAAGCAAATAAGAAGTAAATCCATTTACATCTCATCATACATTTGAGAGCTGGTGCTTTACTTCCTCAAGATATTAGTAAACAGATTTCAGAAATAAAAAATGTAACAAACTGAACAAAATCTAGTTGAGGACAATTCAAGCTCCATATTCTGTCCCACTCATCAGATTGAACCATGGTGATGGAGATGTATTATAATGAATTTTTTTTTCTAACAGAATGCTCCAGCTACAGGTTTGTAATAAACTGCTGCCGACTAGGGGGCTGTAATTTTTCACAACATCTTTATTCATTGTCTTGTCTCAGTAATGTTCTGCATGTTCAATCATTCCACTGAGGCTACATTAAACCATTTCCGACCATCCAGATAAAATATTTCAAACATCCACTCGTATACAGACATGCCAGATGGAATTTACTTTACATTTATAGTCAGCTGCATCTAAACTGTACATTATTATGTTTCGTGGAAAAGACCTCACATCGTTTTAATCATGTCTACTTGATGAATTCATCTTGAACGTCATGTTATTGCATTCATTCTTAGTGCCCTGCAGCGTGCTGATGTTTGACATGACCAAATTATTTTCATGTCTGAATCTGTTTAAGGATTTTTTTCAAGTTTCTTTTTTTATAATGCATAAAAATGACCAAATAGCTGCAGAGCTTATGTACTTAAACACATACTGAATTCATCAATTGGATTTTCTAAATTACATTTATTGAGTGAAAGTCAATTTTATAGTGCCAACTGCTTGATTTAAACTGTGTTATGGCACAAATAATATTGCTTTATTATCGCCTGCTGCCATGTGTGTGTGTGCTCTGCATTTTAATGAAATATTTCAATGAAACTCAGAAAAATAATATTTGGATGGATATCACTTCCAGGACTGTCAGCCTTTAAATTTGTATTTGCAGAATAAACTTTTCTTTTTTTAAGAAACACTAATGTCCTTCTAAAGATAACCAGAAATGTATATATTTGTTATGGAAATTCTCTCGTTCATTGACGTTGTTTACTCAAAAGAACCACTTTCACAGCAGGTGAAGATTTATATCTGGCATTTCACCTTCAAGGTCAGATTTCAGGGCAGGTTACATACTTAAACATACATAAACATACAAAGATGTATACGCATGAAAACCCACGAGACAAATTATCTTATGGCTTTTTATATCCCTCTCAGCTCAGCTGAGTTTGTCCTTGAATGCAGCTGCAGTCTTCTTACACACATTCTTCATTTGCACAAACATATGGTTCATGGGCAGAGACAAGCGAGCTTCTTGTTCTCAGGAAAGAGGGAAAGAATGTTCTCAGCCATAATAATAAAAAAGTATTCCTCAAGGTTATAGTCTTTTTTTAAGTTCAACAATTGAAAGCAACTATCTAATGTATAGAAGACAAAAATAAAAACTTTTTCTTTCTTTCTTCAGGGGAGAAAATCAGTTGGAAGAAGGTGAAGGTTCTGTGTGTTTGGACCTGGCTGTACGCTCTCATCTGGGCTCTGTTCCCCATTCTGGGCTGGGGCCGCTACGGGCCCGAGCCCTTTGGCCTGTCCTGCTCGCTGGCTTGGGGCCAGATGAAACACGATGGCTTCTCGTTCGTCGTCTCCTTGTTCTCTGTCAATCTGCTCGTGCCTTGTGTCGTCATCATCTGCTGCTACTTCGGCATCGCCCTGAAGCTTTATTTCACCTACAAGAAGTCGGTGAACAGCCACCGTGTTCCCAACGTTGTTAGGCTTCACCGAAGGCTGTTAATGGTAAGTTAGTGTTTCTGAAAACTTTACACTTCCTGTATCACACTCTGTGCAGCTGAGGGGGTAGAGAGGAAAACAGCGCTGAGGATGACTCTCAGCTACTACCAATTCAAACTTCAACTCAATTTCTGTAAAACTGACTGTGTTAGAACCATTTTTGTGTTTAACTAATTTATATTATCTGTGGCAGCCATTTTAAACCGTGTTTACTCCAAAGGTTAATCAGTTTTAGATGTACATCTATTGATTACTTGGAGAGTTTCATTCAAATTTGTCCTGAGGTTTTGAGAGTTCTGAGATATTTTGCTAACAAACTGGCAGGTAATTCTAAATTACAAAGCAAAGGTTTTGTATGCACTTCAAAACTTAAATATATATTTGGGATGATGCTCAAATAGTATCAAAATTTAGCTTGACATCTGTATAGGTTTGTTGTGGCAGCCATATTGAATTTGTTTGACTAAAAAAATAATCAGATGTAGATGGCGAATGATCATTTTTGAAAATTTTATAATTTTCTTTATAGTGAAACATGCAGGAAATAAGTTTTTAAAAAAGCCTTAAATTACAAAAAAAATTGTAGCTGAAAGTCTCTTCAACTGTTTCTATAAAACCACATGAACACCTGGAACAATTAGACAAACATGCCGTTTGATCTAAACATTTTCTACATTTCCTGTTTTCTCCTTTGAGTTTTCACCTCACCTTTCTCTGAATGTCTTGTGTTCGTGTGTTTGCATCATCAACATTAAAACTAGAGACAAGTCCAGAAGATGGAAGCTGATGCCACACGGTTATATAAAACAATGGAGGGCGCACTGGTCACGTGACCTTGTGATTCACTGGAGCTTTGTCGGACATCATCAAAACAGCCCAACGTTGGCACTTTTGATTAAATAGCCCAGAGTAATGGCTGACTATGTAAAAAAAGTCAAAAACAGTAATAAAGTGTATGTAATATAATATATATAATATTAAATTGTATATAAAAATGTAAAAGTGCCAAAGAGCTGTGTGCGCTACAGATGTTGGCAACAAAAGGGAGAACATCAATGTCTCCTTTCACAAATAAGCAGATTTGATCTTATTTATGTCAACATGAATGTGATAATGTAACTGTTTAAAAGTAGCCAATAATGCTGATTTAAAGGCTGTTAATTATTGAATGGGTTAGTAGTCAATAGCAGCTTCTGCGTCATATACTGTCATGCTGTACAGGCAGATTTGTGCTAAAATTTAGTACAAATTGTTAAATAGTACAAGCTGCTATTGCCTCTAGTAACAATTCATAATCTGCTCTCTCTGCATGAATTCTGAAAATGTACGTTTTAAGCTTCGGTACAGATTAGACGCCGATCGCTGCATTTAGCTGCAGCTAGCAGAGCCTTCATGAACACACTTTACATGTTTAAAAAAAGTTTGTTTCAAATTCATCAACTAGTTGAAGTCATAATTATTTAACCAGCTAAAAATTCTTGAAGTCATTGAAGTCAGTCATTAATTACTGACTGACTCTGGGTCTAGTTTAGATCAGTGGCAGCTGGTCCATAAGAGCAGGTGGGGCAGAGCTGCACCTAAAAAATTAATTCACCACACAAAGTAGTTCCTCTTAATAAATAATGTAAATTACATATTTACTGAGCTTAATGTGCCTTGTTTTGATCTGTATTTTTAAACTATTTTGACCATTTTAAATGGAATTTAAAATGATTTTTAAAGATTCATCCTCAGTTTTTTTTTATTTACAGTCGTGCTCGAAAGTCTGTGAAGCCTTTAGAATATTGTTGTTGTTTTTTTCATTCAACCTTTATTTAGACAGATAAATCCCATTGAGCCTCGAGGACTCATTTACAAGAGAGACCTGATTTCAACAAAGAATGATGACAACAATGGACAACAGCGACAACAATAGACAATTATAAAAAAAGCATACAATTTTTTTTTTTTACAAATAGGATGGCTAAAAAAAAGTAACAAAAAACAGCTAGATTTTAAGGCGAATGTAGAAAACTAAAAACAGGAACATGTCTGCATTGGTCCTTCTCCGGAGTCCAACAGATTCTTAAAGCCACTTAGAGAGGTCAAGGTCGAGAGCTTCAGATCTTTTTGTAAGATATTCCAGGAAACAGGAGCGGAGTAGGAGAAGGCCCTTTTGCCTAGTTCAGTCCTCACTGAGGGAACACTGCAGGTAATAATGTCCTGAGAGCGCACGCTGTAGCTGCACTCACACAGAGACATGTAGGAGGAGATGTATGAAGGCAGCAGACCAAGAAGTGATTTAAAGATGAAAATGTACCAGTGGGAGAGTCTGTATGAAGTTAATGATGACCAGTTAACCAGTGAATACAGGGTGCAGTGGTGGGTACGATAATCACAGCCAGTTATGAATCTTAGTGCACCATGATAGACAGCATCCAACATCTGCAGGGTTCTTGTAGGAGCGTTCATGTAAATAATGTCACAGATACAAGGCGTTTCCTAGCATTCAAAGTTAGACAGGATCTGTTTCTGAAAAAGAAACCCAGTTTAACCTTCAGTTTCTTTATCAAGTTTTCCACATGAAGCTTAAAAGAGAGATGTGAGTCGACCAAGATATCCAAATATTTGTAGGAATGAACAAACTCAATCGGAACACCATTTGAGGATGAGATCAGAGGAAGAACTGCTGGGACCAACTTCCTGTTTGAAAAAAGCATCCCTTTTGTTTTGTCGACATTTAGGACAAGTTTGAGGTGGAACAAATCAGTCTGGATGATGTTAAATGCAGATTTCAAAGCTGGAAAGCTTTATCAACTGCTTTAGCTCAACAATAAACAACTGTGTCATCAGCATAGAAATGTATGGATGCATCAGGGATGTTTTGACCTACAAAGTACATTATCTATGTAGATTGTAAAGAGGGTTGGTCCTAAGACTGAGCCTTGAGGTACACCATTGTTGACTGTTAAATAACTGGAGGAAGTACCATTATGTTGAACACATTGCCTCCGGTCTGAAAGATAGTTAGAGAACCAGCCAATGGTGTGATCTGAGAAACCGATTTCTGAGAGTTTATGACACAAGATGTTATGATCCACAGTGTCAAAAGCTTTAGACAGGTCTAAGAAAAGTGAAGCACAATAATCCTTAGCATCCAGTGCTTCAACAACATCATTAAGAACCTTCAGTGAAGCAGTGGTTGTGCTGTGTTGCTTCCTGAAACCAGATTGATGTGGAGGTAAGATGTTAAATGAGTCCAGGTAATTTTTGATTTGAGAGTTTATCAGTTTTTCTAGAACCTTGGCTAAAATGCAGAGTTTAGAGATTGGTCGATAGTTGTTCAGTGAGGTGGGGTCACCTCCCTTCAGCAAAGGAAGAACAAAGGCTGTTTTCCAAGCGTCTGGGATGGAGTTTTGTCTTATGGAGAGATTAAAGATGTGGGTCACAGGGACTGTGATGATATGAGCAGCCAGCCTTAAGAAATAAGGTGGAAGTTCATCTGAACCTGCAGATTTTTTAGGGTCAAGATCTTTTAACAGTTTATTGACCTCACTGACTGAGAATGGAGAAAAAGAGAAGCTGTGATTAACTGAGGATTGACTTGTAGGAGGGATTTGATTTGTAGAAGTTTGGTTATTAAGTCAAGTGGCTGATCTTCCATTAGTAACTGTGTCAAATAAAGAACCAGAAGCAACAAAATGTTTGTTGAAACAGTTCAGGATCTCATGCTTATTTGACACAGGAACAGAGTTAACGAGAAGTTGTGATGGGAGGTCAGATGATTGGGGGGTGCCTGAGAGAGATTTGATAGTTTTCCAGAATCTGTTAGGGTCATTTAGATTTTTGGAGGTCTGAGATAAGAAATAGTTACGTTTTGCTGCTTTGACGGCAGTTGTGCATTTATTCCTCATCTGCCGAAAACTCAACCAATCAGTGTCTGAGCCTTCTGCAAAATATGACTTAAAACATTATCAGATTTTCACGCAAGTCCTAAAAGTAGATAAAGAGAACCCAGTTAAACAAATGAGACAAAAATATACTTGTTCATTTATTTATTAAGGAAAATGATCCAATATAGTTCAATGTAATAAATAACCTATAATCCTAGAGGTTCACATACTTTTGCCACTCACAAATATGTAATATTGGTTAATTTTCATCAATAAATAAATGATTGAATTGATGCACTGATACAACCTCTACCTAAACCTGATGTGAGCTCAAAAGTGAAACCTGCCGAGACCAACAGTGGAGATATTCTGTTTTTAAATCCATATGGAACAGACAGATGGGACCAGAACAGAAAACTGAGAACAGTCAAAGAACAGGAAATGTCTGTCAACGTGGTAGGACCTTATTAAAAATTTCTGTGGTTTGTGTGAGTGGTTGAGGTGGGTCAGTGGTTGAAGCAGTGGTCTTGTAACAGTGTTCATGGGTTTGATCCCCACTTGAATTTTCTATTGGATTTGGTGATGATATATTGTATTTTTTTTTTTTACTTTATTGATTAAGTTGTTGGTTTACTCCACTTAAATTTATTTTGTCCATTTAACTGTGTTAATCTGGAGTATTATTTCAGAATGATTACTTCAAATCAAATTCAATTCAGAAAGCTGTGCACCTGTTGGCTGGGGGTGGGAGGTGTTCCTTTCTCTGATTTATTGGACCGGACTGTTTTTCACGAGATATAACCTTGACCCGCAGGAGGGAGGAAAAAAAGTCTAAAACTTTATAGATACACACAAAAAAACTACAACAAATTAAGAATTAACTAACATAAATGCTTTGCTTGTTTTTTCACAGAAAATGTTACAAAATTTGTAAAAGTTTTCAGGAAGCTAATGTCCGCACCACTAATATTTTTGCTCAGGAGCCGCCACTGGTTTTGATTATTATTCGTTAGACCCAACTAATTTTCCTTGTATAACATCTAGCTGTTTTACATGATTGTTGTATGAAATTAACATTAATTATGAAATAAATGACGTGTAAATAGATTAATAATTATTTGTGACATAGATCCAGTTGGGTTTGCTGTCAATTTAACAGCTGGGCTATGAGGAGTAGCCTGTTTTAGACGCCATCTTAGCTTTTCCACCAAGTCCCAAAGGTAAACGACGGGCGGGATGGGCAGTGCGAAGGACAGGGCTGGGCTTTTGTATCGGGGGTACAGCCTCACGTTCATAGTGCGCAGACTCTGGCTCCAAAGACATAATGACATTGTTCCTTCAATTTGGTATAATGGAAATTAATGGTTTTGTCCATCTTTGTGACAATGTTATTAAGTATAGGTCCCAAGAGACATCAGCTGCTACTGCAGTAGAGGGCTTGGCAAAAAATGGCTGCAAGAAGTCAGAAACAAATGACATTTGCATACACATGCTGTCCCCTCTAAACCATCTCTAGAGCCCAGGATTGCAGAGGATGTGTGAGAACGGCTTTCTAAGTTTGGACTGTTGCCTTTTCCTTAAAGCAGAACTGCTCAAGTTTCTTCGAGCTGCATAAATCGAGCCAAACCCCAGACTCTAAGTCGACTTGACGTTTGGACTAAAACTTGGCTAGTCTAGGCAAATGAATGTTAAACCACTTGAGTGTTAGTATGTATTTAGCACTTTGGGTGGGCTTTACTTAACTTTCTCCCCATGTTCCATTACAGATTGCTGTTTTGATCAGCGCAGGTTTCATAGGCTGCTGGATGCCGTATGGTTTGGTGAGCCTGTGGTCCATTCTGAATGACAGCAGTAAAATCTCTCCTGAAGTCAGTCTGCTGCCCTGCATGTTTGCAAAGAGCTCTACCGTGTACAACCCCATGATCTACTACTTCTTCAGCCAGAGCTTCAAACGGGAGGTAAAGCAGCTGGGATGGATGTGCTTAGGCTCCAATCCATGCCACGTCACCAGCAGCATCAATGACAACAACATATACATGGTGAGTGTGAACGTGAAGAGTAAAGAAACGCCTCGGGAGACTGTGCAGGAAATCACAGAGCTGAGACAGTAAGTTTGGATCGAAAGACTTAAGAAATCAAACCGATTGAAAGCCACGCTCTGGTTGGAGGTACTTCCTGAGGTCTCTGATAGGTGGTAGGAATAGATGAAAATGGGATTAAATGCTGTGAATGTTCATCCAAGCTTGGAGTTGGCAAACCTCTTTGCACCATCATCACCCAGAAACTTCACAAGTGTCTCACAGCAAAACCAGAGAAATGGCAGCCACAAGGGATCAAAGCAAATCCTGATCTACAAACCAAAGGTTGTTCAGAGAAACGCAACTAAAAACGTTTCATAGAGCATGGATAAAGAAGCGCTGACGACTTCAATTGTTTCAGCTTTGTGTTGTGAAGAAATGTCTTTCTCTTCAGACGTCGTTTCTATTATCTGTTTGGTGATGGGTGTCCTTGAAGGCCAAGCAGACCTGGTACCTAAACAACAGTTAGGACACCAGATTGTAAAGATATTATGGACCAAGCTGTCCATAATATCTTTGGACAGCTTGTTCTGACTAAGCCTTGTTGGTACCATGACCTTCAGAGTATAAATGACATCACACAGTGTTCAAGAAAGATATTTAAGACAAGCATTTAATTGTATTGTTACAAGCTGTCTTTTAGTTTGTGTTTTATGACCTTATAATGAAGCTGTCATATTTATGTGTGCGGCAGCTTCTGCTGTACAAACCAAAGACAATATTACCATCATGCAAACTAAGAGGAACGGTTCAGTTTAAGGCAATGAATCATAAGAACCTGTTGGATTCAGTGCTTACCGGCTTCTTCTGACCTTTTTGTTTCAGAAACCTCAGAAACCACAGAGAAATATAAGTTGTTGCTTTGTTTTGGTTTGCTCTTAAAGTAAATTTGAAGGTTTTTTTCCACAATAAAAAGCATATTGAAGGTCTAAATAAGCCTATATTGTACAGATTATCCACATTTGGCCCTATTAGTTTCCTTCCTCCAAACAAACAAATGAAAACAGCCAGATTGACCATTTTAACTATCAGGTTGCTCACGTGGATAAGATGCAGTCAAATAAACTGTAATTAACAAAGCTAATGGAATAAAGTTCAATTTGATAACTGAGTATGGTGGAGTTTAAAGAGTGGATTCTGTCCTAAGGGAATGAATTTGATATGTTTTTCTACAATACAGCAACTGAACACATCTTTGTGTGTGATAATCTTCAAAACATAATTTGTTGCTGCCTATTGGTCAGGTCTCCCTTGAAAAAGAGGTTTTTAATCTCAATGGGTTTTTTATCCTGGTAAAATAAAGTTTAAATAAAAAAATAATTATTTTCCTACAGGCAGGAGGTCTTAATGTTCCTTTAATCACAAAAAAAAAAAAAAAACCTAAAGATTTGAAGCTGAGTATTTAAATAATTCAGTGATTCATTCATGAAGTGGATGGATGGCATTGGAGATGGTTACCATTTACATTTTGACCATTAGATTTGACTAAAAGGAACAAATTGCACCTTTAAGCTGTTCTTAGTTTCTCTTCTCACACTTTTTAAAATTGTGTCTGTCTACAGATTGTATTTTTTGTGTACCAGTAATTCTGCTCTAATATAGATTGGCAGTAAGTCATCTAGAGGAGGAAGACTCTCAGTGTGACATTTTGTTTTGTGGGGAAAACAATCTGAGACAAAAGGAGCAAAACTTCTTTTAAAAAGTATTAAATTGAAGCTTCAGAAGCTGTCGTGTGTTGAACCATCAAGCTCATGTGTTCCCTTTTCCTGTCATGTCTAGAAACAACCCCAGTAAAGAGGCTTCATATATTTTAGAATTTCTAAGTTGGTGAGGTAGAAAACCTAAAACTGTGATGTGTGCGAGGGAAAAATACACACCAAGTGTTTTTATCGATCAACATTTCAGAGCTGCAGATGCAGCAGATCACTCATTTTTAATATAAATATATTTATAATAATATGGATGTGGGCACCAGTGACCCCCGCGACCCAGAAAGGAAGAAACGGGTAAAGATCATGGATGGATGGAAATATTTGGTCTTGAAAAAAAAAAAAGTCAGACTCAAATGTTGTGGTTTTATTCCAAGTCCCTTGATGAGTAGTAAAAAAACCTTGAAACAGATTATTCACTTCAAAATTAATAATGCATGCTCATATTTGAACTTAGCTTCTGGGTGACTTGAAAAAAATACTTAAAATTTGCTGTTGCTAAGGTAACAGGAGGAAGGGAAGGGGAAGCAATCTTTACAAAAGCTTTATATTACTAGAGGTCAACAGTGAAGGAAACATTTGCAACTTCTGCAGGTCACACTGTTGGATTTTGTCACAGTTGGTAAGAACTGCACCCAGGAATGTGTGCTGTCACAATAAGTTTGAGTAAAAGAACTGAAAGTTTATTAATTGGAAACAAAAGAGACTGCCGTGGCAGCAAAACTAATCGATGAGAACTCTGCAGAGACGAGAACAAGACATGAAGAATGCACAACGCTCAACTGAGAGGGGAATAAAAGCAGGGATTATATGGACAGGGGCTGGTGAATGGAAACACCTGGAACACAGGTGAATGTGGGCGGGGCAGGAGCTGAAGAGGAAGAACTGAAGTGGCACAGAGGAACTGAAAGCAAAAATCCTAAACCAAACCAAACATGGACCATGACAGATGGATCTATCTGGATTTGCATTGTCATGAATTAAATTCACCTGATGAGGAGAAATGACCCTTTTTTGTATTTTCTTCATAAAATGACTGCATTTTATTTTTGTGTGGTGTAAATAAACACGTGAAAGCATTAAAAATTGTTCTATTCTGTCTTTTTTTACACCTGTTTTCCACAGTAAATCTCTTGTGTGCAGTTTAAGTGAAATTTCTTGTTTTGTTTTTTTTTTTTTTCATTAAAATTTAATCCTGCTGTTGAAATTCCTATTTTTTCACTTCGAGAACGTAGAGCTCTGACCCCTGAGCACATTCATTTGCACAGTTTATACTGATGAATATGTCTGATGGACATGGCAGAGCTGTGAGCAGTAACTACAGCAAGAAAAGCCCACATTTTAATTTGTATTAAAAATAAAAAAGAGAAATGACTGCACCAAGCTCGTCACATTTTTTGCTTCACATTAACATTGTTGCACAATTATCTAAGATTTTCTGGCACCGTTTGCATACTGTGTCTTTTTAGATCATGTGTTTAAGTAAAACCAACATTATCTACTGCTCATCCTTTCCACCAACACGAACCTAAAAGAAACTGATGTTGTGGTTTTGCTTTGGACTTAACTTGAAGATGAGGAGAACAGAAGACAAATTACTAAAGAGTGCTAACAGGAAGAAGAGCCAGAAGACTGGGTAGGACCTGGGCTCCATGCTGACAGAAGACATGACATTCAGGTGATGGTGAACGCTACAGACACGCTGCAGCCACGTCCCACGTAACAACAAAAACAACCAGAGCATCATAGCATGCAGGATACGGACGCCATGACACTGTAACATTCATTCAACCTTTATTTAAACAGATTAATCCCATTGAGCCTCGGGGACTCATTTACAAGAGAGACCTGATTTTAACAGAATGATGACAACAGTGGACAAAAAAACAGCAATAGACAATCATGAAGGATGTGTGCAAAATAATTTTTTTAACAAGTGAAAATAAAATGACATTCAAAAGAAAATGTAGCAAAAAGCAGCTAGATTATAAGGCGATGTAGAAAACTATAAACAAGAACATGTCTGCGTTGGTTTTTGCCAGGAACTTAACAGATGTTTGAAGCGACTTAGAGGTCAAGGTTGAGAGCTTCAGATCTTTTCGCAAGATGATCCAGGAAACAGGAGCGGAGTAGGAGAAGGCCCTTTTGCCTAGTTCAGTCCTCACTGAGGGAACACTGCAGGTAATAATGTCCTGAGCGTGCACACTGAAGCTGCACTCACGCAGAGACATGTAGGAGGAGATGTATGAAGGCAGCAGACCAAGAAGTGATTTAAAGATGAAAATGTACCAGTGAGAGAGTCTGTGTGAAGTTAATGATGTCCAGTTAACCAGTGAATACAGGGTGCAGTGGTGGGTACGATAATCACATCCAGTTATGAATCTTAGTGCACCGTGATAGACAGTGTCCAACATCTGCAGGGTTCTTGTAGGAGCGTTCATGTAAATAATGTCACCATAATCAATGGAGGGAAGGGAAGTCACGGATACAAGGTGTTTCCTAACATTCAGAGTTAGACAGGATCTATCTCTGAAAAAGAAACACAGTTTAACTTTCAGTTTCTTTGCTAGATTTTCCACATGGAGCTTAAAAGAGAGATATGAGTCGACCAAGATACCCAGATATTTATATGAGTTGACAAACTCAATAGGGACACCATTTAAGGATAAAGTCTCTCCCTTTAACCCACAGTATACATGACAGTATGTACTCTGAAATTTACCCATTCTTTGAACTTTAGGGTGGCTGTGGCTGAGTGGTTAGAGCAGTCGTCCTCCAGTGCAAGAGTTGGAGGTTTGATTTCACTAGCAGTCACATGTTGAAGTGTCCCTGGGCAAGACACTGAACCCACATCCTCTGATGTGTGTCTCATCAGTGTATGAATGTGATCTAAAGCACGGATCATTCTTTGTAGAGATCGAGTAGAGTGATGTATGAATGGGTAATTGAGGACACAGGATGTAGTGTAAAGAGCTTTGAGTGTCTTGATAAGATAGAAAGGTGCTTTATAAGTACAGTCAAGTATCTATCAGCTTCATGTTGGTTGGGAGTCTTGATAATTCAGCTCAACCATTTGTAGTGCTAACAAAGGCTAAAAGCAGAATACAGAGGTGTGGTGGACAGCTTTGTGGCGTGGTGTGGACAGAACCACCTGCAACTCAGCATTGGACAAAGAGCTGCAGGTGGACTACAGGAAGATCACCCCCATCATCACCACCCTATCAACATCAAGAGTGCTTAGACAATAAACTGGACTGGACAGCTAACACCAACGCCCTCTACAAGAAAGGACAGAGTCACGTTTTTCTTCTGAGGAGACTCAGGTCCTTTAATGTCTGCAGGACCATGCTGCAGATGTTTTATCACTCTGTGGTCTCCAGCGTCTTCTTCTATGCTGTGGTGTGCTGGGGCAGCAGGGTGAAGAAAGATGATGCCAATAAACTTGATAAACTCATCTAGGGAGCTGGATCAGTTCTGGGAGTGGACCTGCAGTCTCTGACAGAGGTGTCTGAGCAGAGGATGCTGAAGAAACTGCTCCAGATCCTGAAGAACATGTCACACCCCCTCCATGACACCCTGGACTCTTACTGTAGCACCTTCAGTCGTGGACGGAGACCACCGAGGTGCTCCACAGAACAACACAGGAAGTCCTTCCTCCCTGTGGCTATCAAACTTTTCAACTCATCCCCCTTTCTACACACAGGACAATAAAATTAATCCTGCACCACAAAAAGCTCTTTAATGTCTCTGTCTGCACCTGACCTGGACCTACCATTCTGTGTTCGTCTGTCTCTCCTTCCTGTCCTCTCAACCAGCCGGTCAAAGCAGATGGCTGCTTGTACTGAGCCTGGTTCTGCTGGAGGTTTCTTCCTTTTAAAAGGGAGTTTTTCCTTTCCACTGTTGCCACTGTGCTTGCTCAGGATGGGAGACTGCAACGAAGCCAAGATTCAACGAGTCCGCTGGATTCCTTAGATAGAGAACTTTACTAATTGGCTTTTTATGTATGTGAATGTTTCTGTAAAGTGCCCTGAGACAACTTTGTTGTGATCTGGCGCTATATAAATAAACTGAATTGAATTGGATTTACTTAAGCTCTAAAACAGGTGTCCAGGTTAAAGACAAAAAAAAAAAAAAACACATGTTAAGGATAGAAAAAATAATTACAGATACAAAACAGGTTGAGCAGAGCAAGTAAAGACAGAAGTAGAGTGAAAAGTGTGGTCAGTTTGTCCTCCAGCAGTCTAAGCTTATAGCAGCATATCTAAGGGACAGCTCAGGAAACCTAAGCCGACCCTAACTATAGGATTTATCAAAAAGCAAAGTCTTAAGCCTAGTTTTAAAACTGGATAATGTGTCAGCCTCATGGACAGAAACTGGAAGTTGGTTTCACAAGAGAGGAGCCTGATAACTGGAAGATCTTCCTCTCATTCTGTTTTTGGAAACTCTAGGAACTGCGAGTAAACCTGCAGTCTGAGAGCAAAGTGCTCTGTTAGGAAAATATAGAACAATAATATCTGTAATATAAGGTGGAGCCAGGTTGTTGAGAGCTTTGTAGGTTATAAGTAAGATTTTGAATTCTATTCTGGATTTGACAGGGAGCCAATGGAGAGAAACTAAAACTGGAGAGTCTAAAAAAAGTTAAATCTGGTCCTCGGGACATTCCAAAAAAAAAAAAAAAAAAGCAAAACAACAAAATCATCAGGCCAGGACTCTGCGGTCTACACTCATCTCCAGGCCAGCGGTCACTCTTTCAGGGATGAAGATGTTCACATCCTGGACAGAGAGGAACGATGGTTTGAGAGAGGAGTAAAGGAGGCCATCTTTGTGAAAAGAAACCGTCCATCATTAAACAGAGGTGGAGGCCTCCGGGTTCAACTGTCCCCCTCTTACAATGCTGTGATTGCTAGTATCACTCAGCCCTCTGTGAACAGTAAACAGCCATCAGTGTGCTAATGATCCATTGTTAGGCTGATGGTCCTTCTTGAGCATGTGATCAGCTGGTTTTGGTTGTCAGCAGCAAAACTGGTTGATCCACTCTGAGAAGGTGCTATTTAAGAGACTGAGCTGAATACAGCTCCTCAGACTGAGGAAGTCTCTCGGATGAGAGACGAAACGTTTCTACATTTTTTGTTGTTTTGTTTTGCTTTGTTTTTTTTTTTTTGTTTTTTTTTTAATGTCCAGAGGACCAGATTTAACTTTTTTAGATTTTTCTACCTGAATTATTGAGCATGCATCAGGATAAAACTGGAGAGATATGATCTCTCCCACTAACTCCAGTTAAAACTCTGGCAGCAGCATTTTGGATTAAGTGAAGATGTTTTAAAGACGTATCTGGACATCCAGATTATAAACCATTGCAATAGTCCCGTCTAGACGTGACAAATGCATGAACCAGTTTTTCTGCATAATTTTTAGATAAGATGTTTCTACTTTTAGTGATATTACGCAGGTGGAAGAAGACAATTATAGTAAAGTTTTTAATGTGGGGGATTAAATTAAATTAAATTACATGTCCTGATCAAAAATAACACCAAGACTTTTAACATTAGAGCTGGAGGCCAGATTAATGTCATCTAAGGAGGGAGAAAGACTGAAATGTTTTCTTATTAATTGTTGGTATTTTTATAATCTGTTATCTTTTTATATTCTCTGCTATTTTTATATCAGGCAGCACGGTGGCGCAGTTAGTAGAGCTGCCGCCTCTCAGCGAGCAGGTGACCCTGGTTCAAATCCCGAACGGGGGCCCTTCTGGGTGGAGTTTGCATGTTCTCTCTGTGCATGCGTGGGTTTTCTCCATGCATTCCACTTTCCTCCACAGGCCAAAAATATGCATGTTAGACTGATTGGTAATTGTTCCTAGGTGTGAGTGAGAGATTGAATGTTTGTTTGTCTCGTGATGGACTCGAGACCTGTCCAGGGTGTCCCCCGCCTCTCGAACATTGATGGCTGGACATGGACACCAGTGACCCCCCACGACCCAAAAGGAAGAAGCGGGTAAAGATAATGGATGGATTTTTATAGCTTGTTTGTTCCTTTGTACTGAAACTCTGGCACAATCAATAAAGTTATCTTATCTCTTATCTAAGATTTGAGTTTCCTAAAGGACCTTTCATCTGTGAGGCTAATGTGGCTTCTTTATCAGTGCAAGCAAAAACATTCTTTGATAAACTGCTACTGTCTGTCGTCAGAAACTCACAAAGCCCAGCTTAACAGCACTTCGGCGAGCGTTTACAGACGGAGATGTAAAATCTATCAGATCTGAGCTCTTGGGTTGACAGGAGCATTTTTGTTCAAGTAATGGCTTTGTCAGTCAGAGGTGTACGAGCGATGAATCAGCTTCAGACACACAATCTTTATTTCAACGTTAACACAGGGAGTGACTGTAAGGATGTTACTTTTCTGTGGCCCGGTGTGTCTGTTTCCCTCGTGCTTCCCTCATTAGTTTCCATTGTTGCCACCTGTGTCTCGTCCCAGCTGTTTGTCATCATGTCTCGTCTTCTCCCAGTATTTAAGCAGTCCTATTTTGTCTTGTCCTTTGTCGGGTCGTTCTTCGTTGGGTACGCTTCCTTGGGTCTCCTGAGTCTCTCTTTGTCTTCCTGGTTCCTCGAGTTCCCCGTGTCTCCTGAGTTCCCCGTGCCACCTTCCTTGTTTATGTAAGTTTTGCTGCCCCGTCAGCTTATTTATTTTGTACTTTTTATTTATCATTAAAAACTTATTTTTGTATATCTGCCGAGTTGAGTCCCTGTTCTGCACTCTGGGTTCACTCCGACCTCAAACCCTAACAGTGACGGCACACGTGCTGATGAGCATCGTGTGGAAAAGGCTTGTGGGACACAACCAGTGACTCCTTATAGAGGGTGTTAGCATCTTCTGAAGCATGAGTCACGGTGTGAAGCTTTCTACTGATGGGGTCGTATTGCTGCACAGTAAATGGTTGGTAACTAGAGCCATTGGCAATCCTGTTTACTGTTGTTTCCTTGGTTGATGGCCTGGAGGTTCACTGCCTGTTGTGCTGGTTTGGATGATGAAACACCAATTTACAAGTCATCTCAAAGCACAATACCAGTTTAAAACATAAACCCCTTTCAGTTACACAATTCAATTATAATACACTACAGTCTGAATCATTATACCATGAGGCCAATTAGTTAATAATTGTCTGAATACAAATAAATTCAATTGAGATCTATTTGTGGGTTGCCTCCCACAGACCAAATTGGTAACTAAATGGTCTCTAGAGAGTGAATGGCTGTTTGTCTCATGTGTCTCTGTTATGGACTGGAAACCTGTCCAGGATGTCCCCCACCTCTCACACAGTGACTGCTGGATATGGGCATCAGTGACCCCCGCGATACAAAAAAGAAGCAGGTAAAAATAATGGATGATGGATGTATTTTTAAAATGACTATAACCTATTAAGTTCAGAGAGTTCAGAGTTTCTCTATTTGTCATTCGCACCACATGTGGTACATGTGGTGGAACGAAATTATGTACACAGGGTCCCAGTTACATCCAACAATGAAATGTAAAAGAAAAACAGTAATAAGATCTAAGATGTGAACTAAGAAAAACATTAACTAAAAATACGCTAAGCACTACTAGCATAAAAACATTACGCCGAACAGCAGCACGTTGATCAAAATCAAGAAAGTTTTATACCAAAATAAACTGAAGAAAAATATTTCTGAAACACAGATGTGGTACCTGATGTTCTGTTGCTTTGTTCTTGAAAATTAGGCGTTTAGATTAAACTGATGCAAGGAAGAAGAAAAAAAGAAAAAGAAAAGGCCACGTCCAAATACAGATAAACTCAGTAAAAACAGGAAGCAGAAAGAATGTATCATAAGTGCTTTGCTTTTTTATCAGTTTTATTTACCAATCTCCACTCCACTGACATTTATCAAACTTTAAATTACACACAAAAACTACACTTAGTTTTACAGCGGGGTGACTAAAGCCAAATTTCTGTAGAGTGACAATCCTGGTATGCATGAGAAACTGTATTTCTGTTATAAATATTGTAAATTATTAGTCACGTTTAGACATTTGGATGATATTTGAAGGATTTTACTCAATACAGATGTTGAAGAGCTCCTACTGCAATATGTGACATGACATCTTTGGATTTAAGTGTTGCTGTTAACAGAAGAAAATAAACTTAATCCATGTAATCTGATGTACAAGTAATTCATCTCTGATAATCCAACGGTTAAGCCACAGAGGGGGATGGCACTTTTTGTCCTTTACCTTCTCATTCTGCAGGTCACTTTCTAATGAAGCATTTTAGATTTGTTTTATTTTTACATGGCTTGCCGTATCTTTTCTAGACTCTTCTCGATGTTGTCGATGACTTCGACAGCAGATTGTGGGATCCTGGTTCCTGGACCAAAGATGGCAGACACACCACTGTGATACAGGAACTCATAGTCCTGCAGGCACACACAGGCAGGACACATGTCAGATTTATGAATCTTACCAACACACACACAGTCATAAATTTACACTCAGAGGGAGCATCGATTCTAAACCTACAGAAACCACAGAACGCCAGCAGTTCTTAATGTAGAGGAACAAAGGTGCAGTGGATCTATACGAGTGTTTTACTGTCATACTGAGCTCATCACAAACTGCTTCTTCGTTTACAACAGTAAGATCACATTTAATGAGTTTTTGTTAAACTAGACAAGTTTTTATTGCTTCAGATATTCAAGCAGGCTCATAGGAGACCTGTTACTGAATTTTGTCTTTGCCAAAAGAAAACGTTGCGTGAAAGTCAGATACTGTGAGCTCTTCAGATGTGTTAGTTTGTATTCTTCTTCATTTCCACTTCAAATCCATTCCTGCTTGGACTGATGTTAAATTGTTATAACAATCAACGCAGTTAAAAGTATCTAAAGTGACTGCATTTATCACAAAGAATACAAAAATCATGATGTGAATGGAAGAGCTATTGTCAAAGTCCTTCCAAAGTTCAATACGGAGATAATCGAATCTACTGATTATTAAAAACCACGTCAGGCACTATTAACAAAAACAATACTAAAGCAAATGGCAGATCTAGTTGAAGTCGTTAGATACTGGTCTATCTGTCCCTTTTATAAGATGTCTTCTCGAAGTTACCTGTGGTGGGATGACACCTCCACATATAACGAGGATGTCTGGCCTGTTGAGCTTCCGTAGTTCTTTGATGAGCTCTGGGACCAGGGTCCTGTGTCCGGCAGCGAGCGTGCTGACTCCAACGCAGTGAACATCTGCGTCGACCGCCTGCTGAGCAACTTCCACTGGAGTCTGTGACCGAACATCAACCAGGACAGAGGAAAGAGAGCAGCGTGCAATAAGGTTTTACAATCAAGAACCAAAAGAGAGCAACCTCATGGACTTCGACAAGTCTTATCTAACATTCTGATGTATTTGAATCTTCTGATCACAAGAAACTCTCATTTTCACCTGTGTTAGAAAAACGTATCCTCCTTTCACTCACTGTAAATATATAAATAACTGACACATCCCTAGGAGGTAGGCATGAAGCTAAACTCAGAAAGTAAACAACTCATTACCTTTGTGGTTAACCTAATTCAAGATGGCTGCCACATCTAACTGAGCTTGGCCAACACAAAAACGACTATAACTCAAGTCGCTTTTGCAGAGTTCAAGCTACTTTTGGTGTGGTTGTAGCTGAGAGTCATCCTAAAAACATACTCCAAGCGCTAACAGACACAAGCTTTAGAAATATTGTATGAAGGTGTGCATAACGTTCACGAGGTTCGGCCAAAACGACTGGAACTATTTTTCCTGCCTGAGATGATCTTATTTTAAAACTGTCATGAAAGGCAGCAAGCCATAAGAAAACAAAGAAAAGAATGCTGCGCCTGTAATTTGACATCATGCTTTATTTCTCACGTGTGAATTCAAAGTGTGAGCAGCTACTACAGAGATGACAGGACGTACTGTGTAACAGCGCGTACATGATGTCTAACAGTTTGAAACACTGACCTGAAACAGCGGTCCGATGTCTACATCAAAACCCAGATCTGCAAAGCCTGTGGCGATGACTTTGGCTCCTCTGTCATGGCCGTCCTGTCCCATCTTTGCCACCAGCAGTCGAGGGTTCCTGCCCTCGTGTTTTTTGAAATCTGCAACTCTGTAAGGTTTCAAGAGGATTAAAAGAAACAAAACGTAACTCGTCAAGCAACCAGTATGAAGGTCGTGCAGTGAACTGTGGTTATCTTCTACCTTTTGTTGACCAGGGTGATCTCATCATGTTCTCCAAACTCACTGCGATAGGCGCCGCTCACCATCCTGGTGCTGGCCTTGTGCTCACCAAACACTTTCTTCATGGCGTCAGTGATTTCACCAACAGAGCATCTACACAAAGGAGCAGAACGCACATTCCTAAACCTATTTTTTTTACAATGTACTGAATTTGTTTATTGTTTTTTGGCACAACTGCGTTAATCTAACCAATTAGGAAAAGAGTTCAGGATAAAAAATTCTCCACTAACTGTACGGAGCATTGCAGGATCTTGCTTTATGTGATAAGATTGGATATTTTACAAGTCATAACATCCTTAATTAAGAACGACATCATCTGATGTATGTTAAAACTAATTCCCACAGATATCAGGGAGGGGGGTTCAAACTGTGATGGGAGGTTTGGACCTGGCTCGTGCTGCCTCCACAGCCAAGGCTAGAAGGTTGCCCTCTTTGGTCTGAGCACACTTCTCTATAGCTGCCAGGCACCTCTTGGCTGCTTCACGATCCCGACTCTCCTTCACCTAAAGGAATTGTACAAGTAAGCAAACACATCCTGCTGTCACTTTGTTCTGTTATTAAAAATGCAAAAAAAAAATCAATAAAAACACCTTGTTTTTAAACAATATATATCTATCCTGCTGTGAAAAAAGTCTGTTTGACGCCAAGATGATGCTAGTTTCAAGTTTTTTTTTCATGTTTGTGCAAACGGAAGATGTATTTTTGATATAAGAGTTTCTGCAAAAGTTATCTCTGTAATCCTCCAGAATTTTTCTTGAGTAAAATTGTACGCAGCTGATTTGGGGTACTTTCAAGCCAACTGACCTTACTCAGTTTGTCGATCTGTTTCTGGCGTACAGCAGTGTTATCGATGGCGAGAACCTCCACAGTCTCCTCCTTCTCCAGACGGTACTTGTTCACCCCAACGATGACCTCCGACCCTGAAAACAAAAAGCAGAAAATTATATTTGGACTGCAAAAATTACATGGACACAAGCATCAAAGCAGACAAAGGCAAAGAAAAGAAGAACAAGTCATCGTTCCAACAGTTCTTCACAAACAGGATTTTTGTTGTGATTTAAAAATAAAAATCAATATAAAATCTGAGCACACTTCAGTTTTCTCTGGTTTTTTTCAAGAAGTATAATAAACTAAAACAACAATAAATGTTATAGCTGTCAGGACTAATTGGGACCTCTAAGTTTGACTCATTTCATCTGTTTTGAACTAAAGCAGTCAAGTTTTTTATTGCTTACCACCAAAAAACAAAAGTGGACAATTATGTTTGTGTCCATCGTGCAACGTCTTCAGTGGATTTAACTATAAGAAAACTATCACGCTCTAAAATAAACAAAAACTGAGGGAAAAATAAAAAATGATGTGACAAGAGCTACCCCAGAAAGCCAGTGAATAATGTGAGCGGGAATCAGAGCAAATGTACAGAGATTATGTTAATTAGATTTTTTTTCTGCTCTATAGCAGCTAATTTTGGTTTTATTCAGAAATTTTTACAAAGTAAAAAAAAGAAGTTTTCTTCAATTCCCCTCATTATAGCTAAATGCTCCCATTCAGTCTTATCGAGCCTTATAACAAAACCATTCTACAGTGATTTCAGACCAATACAATGTGTAATTAGCTTTACTTTGTCGTTGCTCTCAATTTTCCCAGGAAGCCAGAAAATTGAGGTCTTAAAATCTCATTATTGTACCAGCCATCAACAACCATGTGTTTCCCTGAAAAGTTTTCTGTTTAAAATGTGCTCACAAAGCTCGATCACGAATAACCAAAAAGTGCTGAAAGTAGCCATTTACTCAGATTGTAATAATCTCTAAGAAGATTGAAGATGATCTCCACACCACTGGTCAAAAGACACCCCTGATGTGAGGCAACTTTTTTCCTGCAGGGTCTTTTTGTTTTCTGATACTGATAAAAAGAAAGAAAGCAAACGGCCTTGCAGCTCAGTCTGTCAGTACTGTGATGGTGTAGTCCTCAGTCTGTGAGTCTGAGCCCAGGTTATGTCACAAAGGGCATCCGGAGTCAAACAATTACAAAATCTTACGAGTTTCCTCGCTGTGGCGACCCCGGCAGAAAGGAGCAGCCGAACCAACAACGAACTGTGAGGATTGTGTTCCCTTGTGTTTGTCTCCCTCTTGTGTTCATTCCTGCTCCTCAATTATTTTCCCTTCTGTAATCAGCTCTTACCTGTTGTCCTTCCCAGGTGTTGTCATTTGTCTGTCACTAACATCCCTATTTAAGTTGGAGTCTCTGTGTTCCTTGTTGTCTGGACATAATCCTGTTAGGCTCCATGTCTTTCTTCCATGTCCCCCCGCGTATAATGTACCGTATTTTCCGCTGTACACGTTGCTCCGCCTTATAAGTTGCATCAGTCCAAATATGTCTAAAAAAGTGTAAAAATCCATAAATATGTCGCTTTGCCGTATACGTCGCATCTATTATGTCACTGCTGATGTGTCACGTTTGTTACACGTCACCGCTGACAACCCAGAAATGTGGGCCGAACCTGGAAATGTGGGCTAGTGTTGTGCCAAAAATTGATGGGCTGCCAAATGGCAGCTGCAGGAGCGTGCACGGGAGGACTTTAACAAGAATTTAACAAGATTAACACTTAAAAACAATTATTTGTCCACTTGAAATTATAGTACAGGTGTGTCTCAATCTAATGTTTGCTTAATAAAAGACTTTACCGGTGAAATCAGCTGTATTTCAAACGTATTAGGTGCCTCGGTGCTCCGGGAGCGCGCAGAAGGAGAAAAAAAATAAGGAGGAACGTTGTCCGTTTCTTCGAAATTTAACAAGAAAAGCACCTAAAACAATTATATGTTTGCTTGAAATGATAGCTAAGGTGTGTCTCAGTTGAACTTTTACTTAATAAATGCACTTTAATGGTCAATATAGCGGCATTTGCCAGGGCGGTGCAGCTGGTTTGACTTGTTCCAAGCAGTGATCAGAACAAAGGTGGGGGGGGCTATGGCAGGCTGATTGTGTCATTAATAGCTGGTGAAGATTCTCAGTCATCCAGGACATGGTAAATTCAAAAAAGTTCAAGACAAATACAATAAAGTATAAAGTACAATAAATAAAGTCCAGTTGTTTTTGTCTTGAACTTTCTTGAATTTTCATTATAGACACATTTACGTATTACATGATACAACTGTATGCCACATAGCTACTACTACTACTCTGCTGCCATCTAGTGGCTGAAAGTGGTATTGTTCAATTATTTTTTTCAGTCAGAATGAATGAAAACAGTCATATCTCAGCCAAAAATTGGATTATAAATATGGGAAAAAAATTCATAAATATGTCACTTCGGCCTATAAGTCGCAGGGTGTGTAAATTATGCAAAAAAACGCGACTTATAAGGCAAAAAATTCAGTAAGTTTTATTGCCCCATCAGCCTTTTGTTTTTGTTAACAAATGCTTTCTTTTGTAAGACTCAGCATCTCCATGGTATGCCTGCATTTGTGTTCAACACTAAACCACCAGATCGCAACACAAATGGTCTTGTATAAAATATTTCAGAAATTTGTCACCAGAAATGTTTGCTTTAACTAGCTAGTCAAACAGAACCCCACCGTGTGTTTTAAGTGGCAGCAGTCAAGTTTCACGCTCTCCTAATGCAACATGAACTCCATCTGTCCGTTCACCTTGATACATGTATGAAAAGCTTCAAAGCAGAGGTGGTGAAGCATTGAGACAATATATTTCTGCAGTACCTGAGTCAATGCGAGCCTGTCTTCGTGCAGCACATTCCTCGATTCGAAGTTTTGGAATGCCCTCTGCCACAGCTCTGGCCATGCCTCCCATCTCTTCGATTTCTTCAATGAACTATAAAAAGCAAACATTGGTGAATTAGTTACTACAAAGTAAAGAATAAACTTTTAATAAATTGCTCTGGTTAGTTGGAAGAGCTTGTTCGTCCTCATGACAAACCTTCAGAGCTGCATTATAAACATCGTTAGTTAGAGCTTCCATCATGTGCGAGCCCCCCCAGGGATCAGCCACTTTGGGGATGCCCGACTCTTCTTGGATGATAATCTGGGTGTTCCTGGCGATGCGGGCACTCTTCACAGTTGGTAACCCCAGAGCTTCATCAAAGGAGTTTGTATGTAGCGACTGGGTGCCCCCAAACACAGCAGCCATGGCTTCAATCACCGTACGGATCACATTGTTGTACGGATCCTACAGGAAGAGGAGGCACACAGCAAAGTTGTAGGACTAATTACACCTCATCTGGGCAATTTGTTTAAAAAAATCTGTTCAAAATCTAAATTTAAAAACAAGCAAACAAGCAAAAAGTCTGTTTTGGATTTACTTGCTCTGTGAGAGACCAGCCTGAAGTCTGGCAGTGGGTGCGCAGGAGGAGAGACTTGGCATTCTTGGGCTGGAAGTTTTGTTTCAGCAGAGTGGCCCACAACCTCCTGGCTGCTCTCAGCTTGGCTATTTCCATGTAGAAATTCATCCCTATGCCCCAGAAAAAGGACAATCTGACAGAAAAGAGAGATGATGTTAACATTAAAATAATGAACGATGCAACAAAGTCCATGCTCAATAATACAGGAATACAATCCAACATTTTTCAGTCAGGTCATCTGGACAGTTTCTTTTTTTGTGCTGAAACGTTTGGCCTTCGATCTGGAAGGCTTCATCAGACAAGGAAACACAACACAAAACTGATTCTTCCAGAAGGAGGAGGGGGCGTACCAAAGACACCATCTTAGCACCAATATAACTGGTTTGTTCTACTTTAGAGTAAGCTGTTGGGGGAAGAATCAGTTTTGTGTTGTGTGTTTCTTTGACTGATGAAGCCTTCCGGATTGAAGGCGAAACGTTTCAGCACAAAAAAAGAAACTGTCCAGATGACCTGACTGTAAAATGTTGGAATGAATGATGCACTTCACCACTTGCTCTTGCCGAGATCAGACGTTTCTTCCTTCCCCTCCCTCTCTGCTTTGCTTTGCTGCTCTGTCTGTCTGTGAAACTGCTTGAGCCTCTCTTGCATTTCTTCTGAACCATAATTATGGACTTGTTTTGATCAGTTGGTCCCTCAACACAATTGATAAAATTTCTTGGAAGAGAAGACAGGCTTTAGGCGATCCGATTTGCCCTGTTGGCACGCACGCAGCTGGATATCTCATCAACTTGAGAAAAAAGAATAACCTTCACATCAATGTGAAGAAGACAAAGGAGATGATTGTGGACTTCAGAAGGAACAAAAACATCTACACCCCCTTGAACATAAGAGGATCTGCAGTGGAAGTGGTCTCCAGCTACAAGTACTTGGGTGTACACATGAATGACAACCTCAGCTGGAGCAACAACACCACCAGCCTGATCAAGAAAGCTCATCAGAGACTCTACTTCCTCAGACGGCTGAGGCGAGCTGGTCTGGGAAGCTCAGTCCTCACCTCCTTCTACAGGTGTGCAGTGGAGAGCATCCTGTGCTCCAGCATCAACGTGTGACATGGAGGCTGCACAGATGCAGAAAGAAAAGCTTTGCAGAGAGTGGTGAAGGCTGCACAGAAGACTGTCGGAGTCAGTCTCCCCACCATCACAGACATCTACACCTCCAGATGCAGGAAGAGGGCCACCTGCATCATGAAGGACCCCACTCACCCAGCACACACACTTTTTGCCCCACTCCCCTCAGGAAGGAGGTTGAGGAGCATTAAGTGTAGAACCACTAGACTGAGGAACAGCTTCTATCCTGAGGCTGTTAGACTCATGAATCTCTAACTAGAATAATCACTGTGAAAAAAATCACATCATGTGGCTGCTGATCTGTTTCATGTTGCTGCTGATCTGTTTCATGTTGATGTGTTCATGCGTGCTCATCTGCTCACACAGACTCATGCTCATGTTCTTGCTGATGTTTGACGTAATGTTTATATGCTATTAGTGCTTAGTGTATATTTAGTTGATGTTTTTCTTAGTTCATATCTTAGATGTTATTACTGTTTATCTTTTACATTTTATTGTTGGATGTAACTGAGACTCTGTATACATAATTTCGCTCCACCACATGTATCACATGAGGTGCGAATGACAATAAGGAATCTCTGACTCTGACTGACTCTTACTTGAAGACTTGATGATGTGTCTATCTCTGCTGCCATCTGTGGATTTTAAGGACGCATATTTAATTGGATTTACAATAACTGGTTCCTGCTTTTTGGATTCGTCTGGTTGCTGGTTTTATCAACAATCAAGGAAGTAGTTGGCAGCAAATTTGGACCCGATCACGCTGCTTGCCTTTATGATGGCTTGATTCGTGCCTCGAGTACCCAGACTCAAATGCTTTGGGCAGAATGGATCAGATCTCGGGGATTTTTACTCAGGCACGTTCCATTGGTGTGGCCATGTAATTTAGACATTTTGGAACCGAGGGGACCAACACAGACAGATGTCTGTCACAGGTAGATGTCATTAAGTTCTGCCTGTCCCCAAAACAACTGTGTGTTTATCTGAATTTGGCTCCCTTGGCTGGCCTTGAAGGCCAGCTTATCTGAATTTGCCTGGAGAACATGTGATCTGATGCTCACCACCCCCTCCCTGAGGAATTCCCAACTGATAACCAGATGAAACCAGATGAATAAATATTGTGTTATCATTTCAGGACTCTTTGATTCTCATAGACGTTATTCTTGACCATTCCCCAACATCCCTCAAGAATGTTTACAGATCTCACCAGAGGACACTGGCTGATTATTATATCCTTATCAGAATTCTTACAGTGCCCTCGAGAGCATCTATGGACATGCTCACCGCTCTTGTCGTCTCCCCCGTCTGCAGAATGTCTACGTCACTATGTGCTTGTTTGTGCGAGGTGTTTTTTTAATATCAGAGTTTTTTCTTCTCGGGCAGGAAAAAAAAGTCTGATAGGAATTTTTTTCGCCTCCAATTCCTACATGTGTCCAGTTTCACTACTTTTTGTCTGTCTAAACAGATCTCACTTGTAAATGAGTCTTCTAGGCTCAATGTGACTTATCTGTCTAAATAAAGGTTGAATGAATGAAAAAAATGAAAGATACATCTGCCGCTAAAAAGTGAAATGTGTTCAGCTCAAAGTGCTAACATGGATTGCATTTATCATCTAGGGTCTCACAATCAGATGGTAAGAAGTCAAAAACGGCTATCTCTGCTATTATTAATTTTAATGTGATTTTCTCAAGATCATAAGTTGTTTTTTTTTATCTCAAGATAACCAAACTAGGGTGCCAACGCATAAACATTAAAACATACTAATTTATTTGTTTGTTATTCTCCATTTCCTACCACAGATTTTTAAAACCTAAACAAAAATGACATCAAAACATGCAGCTCCATTGAATATAGTGTGCTATGACGTTTGGTGGTGGTACACTGTGCGTCACAGACGAGATTAGAAAAAAACTGCAACACATTTCAACAAAATACGACTAGACTTTGGCCAAACGAATGAGAAAACCCACTCTGGAGCTCTACTGGACAGTCATAATATTAGAGAACATCATTCAAAGTTTAAACAGGTCACATGACTAAACTGGCCTTTCAATATATTGAACAGCTTTAATGAGATATACACAACTGCAGGTTAAGTTCCATGATTTATGAAAACTTTACCACAGAACTAAATTTCGAGCGGTCTGAACTTTCCATTTGTAAAACAAACTCTTCCTATTTTCACAATCTGTACACACCCTTTTGATATTCTTATTCAGTTTGTACACTGCAGTGTAGATAATGTGAAAACACTGAGTACTGAGTTTATAAAGATAACTACCAGCAACCCAGTCTACATTTTTCCAGTGGGTATACTGCGGTAAAGTTAGTTTTACGTTGGACACCATTGAAGCCACAGAGTGCAAATGTCCAATGTCCAACATAAAACCAACTTTACCGTGGTCGGTCTGTATGCTGTACTTAGAAACCAAAGTACACTGGGTAGTACAATGTAATCGTCAATTTATTTTGATTTTTAAGCATTTTTGAACATTTCCAAATTTCTCTGATGCTTATATTTGAATAAATGAACAACAAACTTTGTACAACAGTTGACTTTGTATTAAAAACAAGTTATATAATTTATAAAACAGTATCAAAGCAAAACACGTTCAAGTATTAAGTAGTAAGTACAGAAGTGTTAATTATACAATTAATTCGCTGGATAAGTGAATGTAATAAACAAGTACTGCATACTGATAGATTGTTACAGAAGCATTTAACTGAAGCTTAACGTATCAGTAACACGTGGCTAATGATGTCATGTATCATTGGACACTAAGTGGGTATACTGAAATTATTAAGCTTTTCTAGTGGGTATACTCCGTACGCCGGCGTATCACATAGACTACACCACTGTAGTAACCCAGTACCTAAAGAAAGGCATAAAATCTCCCTAAGCTACACTTCAGTCAAAGATAAACAGGAATGTCTTCTTGAAATATTCCTTTTAACGTCTTTTGAAATGGACCATTATTCTCTGCTGGCTGTCACAGTGTCAGGAAATCCCATCATATAATGTTTGACATCATTGTAAAGCTTGGGGATTCCCCTAAAGCTGCAGTTCCCAATGACATCACTCCAATGAAAATCCAGTGTTCAGATCAACACTTGTGAACAAAACTAGTGTGTTGCCAGGCCAGGTGATCAACGGTAAACACCAACAAACTACATGTCGTTATGAAGCTTCTGACATGGAGAAAAGAGAAGATCTCTCTTTAAAGTCATGAAGAAGAAAGTGAAGCTCTGGGCTGGACCTTAAAGATGTCCATAAGAGTTAAATGTACCTGAAACGCGCGCGTTACACGGATGAATGAAACAGAAAGAGAGAGGGAACAAAGAAAAGGTGGCAAACACACGGGAGCTTCTTAAGGTACAAAGCAGGACAGGGCTGGTTTGATTTCCATTGATTCAAACATCTGCCTTCCACAGCCGCTGAGGGGACTAATCACATCGCTTGAGAAGCCACCCAGCTTCTGCTTTTGTGATCTTTGAGAAGCAATCTCCTTTTTTTTAACCATTGATTGTGGGTTTGCTGATGAGCAGCGCTACGTGAAGCACTGAACACCTCCTACTTGTTGATGAGCATCACCTGTTTAGAGTTGACGAACTCTTGACTTTATTAAAAGACATTCAATCAGTTTAAGAAAGCAGGAATGCACATTTGAATCAGTGAGCTCCACACAGCACACATGCCCTCTGGTGGCAGCTCCTTGCAAATCTACACTCTCGCACTTTCATTTACAAATCACATCCTCAGCCTGCTGCCTCCTTATCTAAATTATATGATGTCACAAACACCGTCCAGTCACAGCCTGGACAATTTAGAAATCATCATTTCAGACTGTTCTTGTTGAGTTTTGTTCAAATCTGCCCCCTTTAAACCACTGACAGAATGTTTTATGTTACAATGTTGCTTATTATATGTTACAGGTCTCTTGTAAATGAAAGTGCCTGTCTCAGTGAGATTACCTGTTTCAATAAAAGTAAAAAAATATACAAATTATTTCACCATCAGTGGTTCACACATGTACCAAAATTGGACCATTCCATTGAACCTTTTTTCTCAGTGAGTGTATAAATCCATTAAAATGAGCGTAATTAGTACCTTGGAGCAAACTCGTCAATGGTTAAGCCTGCTTTCAGACCAGTCCGGCAGTACTCCAGGCCATTAGCAATGGTGTAAGCTACCTCTAGGATGGCATCGGCTCCGGCCTCCTGAAGATGGTAGCCACTGATGGATATGGAGTTAAACTTGGGCATGTGCTATGAACAGTCATAGCGGCACAAGAAAACACTTATTACTAATAATCTTGTGTAAAACTACAAAAACAGTGTCTGATTAAAACTTGTTTTCGGTCACCAATTACCTCCCATCCCTTGTGTTACTCACCTTGGAGGTGTACGCAAAAATGTCAGCAATGGCGTGCATAGAAGGTTCCGGCGGGAAGATATACGTATTGCGGACCATGAACTCCTTTAAAATATCATTCTGAATTGTGCCCGTTAGTTTTTCTTTAGGCACCCCCTGCTCCTCTCCGGTCACGATAAACATGGCCAGCACTGGGATAACGGCTCCGTTCATTGTCATTGACACGGACATCTTCTCCAGGGGGATTCCATCAAACAGCATCTTCATGTCCTCCACCGTGTCGATAGCGACTCCAGCCATGCCGACGTCCCCGTGGACTCTGGGGTTGTCCGAGTCATACCCGCGGTGTGTCGGGAGGTCAAAAGCTACAGAGAGACCCTGCTGACCAGCTGAAGTGGAAAAACAACAACAAAAGTATTTAATTACTGTTTAAAGACAGGAAAAGAAAACAAAAGAGGTGAAAGGTAGTTTAATGAGAACTGTATAACGAAACAATTGTCGACTTTGCCTCACAAAAACATACCAAACAGTTGATTTTTTAATTCCTGGTTATATCCGCTGTTGGTTTGAATAATTTGTTTGGCTTTTTCAGCGATACTCTCTCTGTTCTGATGAAATAATGCTTTGAGTTCTGAGCAACTGCTTCTTATATGCTATACCTCTAATTAACTTGCTGGTTTTAAATGAGTTAAATGAAGAAGTAGAAATAATATTACAAACTTGTACAACAAAACTCTTTTTGGTTAATAAGACTGTTATATTGGAATTAGGCCTGTCACGATAACAAATTTTTACTGGGCGATTAATTGTCTCAGAAATTATTGCGATAAACGATAATATTGTTTGAAATTTGACAATAATTGGTAATTATTGTGAAATTTAAGAAGAAATGTTTTCTATCTTATTTTGTTTTGTGTGTAGTACCTTTTTTCAACCACCGGATGGCAGTATAAGACTGTTTGAACCAAAGGATGGATAGTGAGGGAGTGAGCAGCGTGTCTCTTTAAGAAAAATGTGAGGGAGGTGCTTTTGAGCTTTGACAAAACAGAGGGTCGGCCTGTTAGCTTAGCTCATAGCTTAGCTTCTCAGCTTAGCTGCTTTTAACGATCCAAAAACATGATTTTGGATCGTTAAAACAGATTTTAAAGAGAAAGGGAGGGTGAAGTGAAGAGCACCGGAGTCGAGCCGTGTCCAGTAGAAAGAGACACAAAGAAAGGATAAAGTCAATAAATGAAAATGAGGTTGATAATTTTCATTCATCATGCGATTTATTGATTGTTTATTGTGACAGGCTTAATTGGAATCTAAAAATATAATAATTTTACTTGATTGCTAATTTTGTATGTGAATATGTTCTAACTAAAGATCTCACATTGATGAAAGGATGCATATCACCTGCCATGTTTCATACTAAAATTTTAAACTAACATCATCTTATATGGAGAAATGACTGAATTGTAACTGTTTTAGTCAAACCATGAAAATATTATATAACACATTGTTTTTTATTCTACTAGTGCTTAGTGTATTTTTTGTTTAACGTTTTTCTTAGTTCATATCTTAGATCCTATTACTGTTTTTCGTTTACATTTTAATACTTTTGTTGGATGTAACTGGGACCCTGTGTACACAATTTCGTTCTACCATGTGGTGTGTACGACAAACAAAGAACCTTGAATCCTTGAATATTGCCAAAATTTCACGCTCTAAGTATGTGTGTTGTGATTGACTCTCAGACACTAGCACACCAAAAAAATCTTATCTTATCTTATAAAAATTGATTTTAAGCCATTAATTTTATAAATATTTAATTTTTTTGTTCATCTTTCGGCTGCTCCCTTCTTCAGGGGTCGCCACAGCGAGCGCACTCGCATTAAGGGTTGGCAGTTGTTTTTACATTCCTGACACAACCACTCTTTTGTAAATGTAATGTGGAAAATATTGTAAAAAAATGTGAATCTAGAAAAAAAATGTATGAAGGCCTAAATATTTCCTGATCAATTCAAAAAATCCTAACAGCAATAATTGAACAAGTAACCAACTTCACACACTCTAAATTAAGTGTTTTATCAGCAAACGACACAAATATATGTACCTTTAATGTTATCTTTATAGAACTTGTTGCTCTCCTCCACGGTGCTGAAACCAGCATACTGTCTGATGGTCCATGGTCTGTAGGTGTACATGGTGGGATAGGGCCCTCTGGTGTAGGGGAACACTCCAGGCAGTTCATCAGCGTTTCCTTCTGAGTCTGCCTTAGTGTATACTGGCTTGATGTTGATTCCCTCAGGTGTGCGCCAGATGAGATCGTCTGGGTTCTTTCCCTTCAGCTGTTTCTGAGCCAGGCTGGCCCACTCAGGATGCAGTCCGACCTGGTCCTGACGTGATACTGAAGTATGAATTTGAGCATAATGTGCGAAGGGTGAAGAGGCAGAAGCTGCAGCCAGGCGGCCGGCAGCCAGCGCTGCCCTGTGTGCTGTCAGCATGCTCCCTCTTGGTTCACTCACACACACACATGGATAATCTGCAGGAAAAGATAAGAGGTTGTGAAAAAATAAACAGGTGAAGTGGAAAGTGTTTTTTTCTATATCTGAGTGTGAATTTTCCTATCATTAGCAAATCATCTCATGAACCAGTGGATGAGTATTCTCAGAAAGTAATCACTGAATGAGCATCTACAACTGATTATTTTTTGGAGACAATCAGATTCAAGATGGCTGCTACAGCTAAGCTGCATCAATAAACACATAAATGGCTATAAAACAGCCAGTTTTACATATATTGAGCTCAAATTTGCTGTGGTAGTAGCTGAGATTTTTTAAAACTTTGATACTAACTGTTGGAGCCAACACTGTCTGTTAGCAAAATATCTCATGAACCACTTGACATGTTAATGATTCAACTATGATTTGTCTTTATTAAAACAATCTCAGTTTCAATGACAAACTGAAAGTTAGTGCATCTGTGAACATTTTATGTTGAACTTTGCTCTTGCAGATGTGCAGAAATCTTCCAAAATAAGAAGAATGCAAAACAGGCAGCAGTATAAAGTTAACCGTTTTTGTTTTATGTTTCCAGTGCATGCGGAGCTGCCTGATTATTGATTATATGCCTGATTATATTGACTATAGATGCACATTAATGAAAACAAGCTTAAATTCTAATAAAAACTGTTTAGAGTTGTCATGTTTATGGAAAACTACTTGTAGCTTCTAAAATAAGATGCTAAACAGCAGTCAATAGATCAATCTTGCACTGTTTGATGCGAGTTTATTAGCTGCTTATGTGAGAAAGTACATTTTAAATGTGACGTTAGCTAACGTTAGCGTAGCACGCTTATAAACATTACAAATGCTACGCTGGCTAGCATAGCATATTTGTGACCAATACACACAAGCAAAGACATGTAAAAATATGACACCGTTTATTAAACCCCACAGGTATGTGATGAACAAATGACATCTCAAGCGAGTGAAAACTTGCGATGTTTCTGTGAACTTTATTTTGTTTTTAAGTCAAATGTTAGCATAAGGCTAACATTTACTAGCGCAACTAACAGCGCGTGCTACTAATGGTAAAAGTTGAATTCATCTGCATTAGCTGGAGAAGCAAAAGCGGAGTTGGCTGCATAAACATGTTTGCAGGCGGTCATTATGTTACATAGGACATATTATTAAGCATTACGTGGTACTTTCTGACCTTGTGTTTTATGTAGTTTGTTGTGCTCGGCCACGTCCAATGAAATTTCACAACACTGAGGTCAACCCACACTAGGCACACTCCATTTGTATTCCGGGCGACAAGGCGGTTAACCGGGTGGGCTTGATTATCAGCCAAGACACAGGACCTTCGTAAACAAAACAGTTTGTTTCGCGGTCAGGTACCAAATGTGATGAAGTCAGTTAATATGATGAATTATGACACTTTGTTAAACAGTAGGTGATTTGTCTCCGTGTCACATTAAATTTATCTGCTGTTTAACGTTACCATCGCTCTGACAGTTCGTACTAATTTAAAGTGTCGCCTCCTTTTACCTACAAACCCTTCGTTATTTTGTTGAGAGGCGGTGTTACCGGCTTCTCCCGCTTGTAATCACTTTGACCCGGCGCCTTCTCCAGATAGATTAAAAGGAACGCGCCCACTAATCTGGGCAGCCCCTGCGCATTCTATGCTAGCGAGACGAGAATTACTGCCGCCATTTTGAGAAGTTGTAGCAACTTCGTAGCGATTTTACTACTGTCAGAATGGCAGCAGACCATCGGAGTAAAAAAGCTAAACTCGCCTTTGGAGCCCAATGTTTTGCTATTAATTGTTTTAATTATCGGAACCAGCACTTCAAAGAACGAGGCATTACGTTTCATCTGTGAGTATTAAGCCATTTTATTAAATAAATAATTGGAAACGTTATATTTCAAGTCTCACCTGTCCAGTATGCAAATGCACCAGAAAATAGTTTATAAATCAAAACATATATGCTCAAGCAATCACTTGTAATCTATCACAATGTTGTAATACTGAAGTAAATTTATACTTTATAGAAACAAGAGTAATTAAGTAGAGCTATCAGTTTATTTAGTTTCTGCGCTTTATTTAGTCCAGATTCAAACGGGACAGATGTGTGCTGACAGGTGGGCACAGAAAACATTCACAGCTGTAATTACTGTCAATAACACCTGTCCTGCATTACAAAATTACAGTATTGCGGATGTATTTATGTAATTTGGTGTGTCTTTATCACATGATGGTAAAACAAGTTTGCAGCCTGCACCTAGATTAGATTATTAAATAGCATCAGCCCCAAATTGTCAAGTAAATTTACACGTGTTTCAGTACATTTTTATATTATCAGATTCCCAAACCAACATAATGATGTGTTTAAACTTACATGACTGTATAAATAGCTCTTAAAGATAAATGTAAAACTTAAATGACAAATAAATACAGTATTTGTTTTACTGTAAATTAAATTATTTCGATTTTTGTTTTGTTTTGTTTTTGTTTTAGCCACAGTGAAATTACCCATAGTCAATGGTAGAAGAGTTCTAGTTAGACTAAGCAGATTATACATTTGTTTATTCGAGTAAGGTTTATTCTGGGCGCCTTAATGTGTGGCTTCAACACGTAAACATTATGAAATGATGTCCTGATGCTGCTCATTAATCCAGGTGTATAAATCTAACAAAGTTAAGCCAGGTCCTCTTTTATCCAAAAGACTTCTTCAGTCTGAAGCACTGAAATGTTGATGCACCTCTTTACAAGATGGCGGACAAAAAAATTCTCGCCAGCCACCAGTGGCTAATGAGTAGCCAATCACCGGCAAGCCTCAAACACTTTGACCTATGACACCGGAAATTAAAGTTGCATTCGAGCTCTTCGACGTTATTCTCTTTGAGAACTTCATAAATTCCCTTCTCTTCACTTTAAACCTTTCTCATTATGATATTTTGTTTACTTGCCTGTGAAGCATCGACATATATTATAATTTAACCTGTATCTGTGTTTATGTCGATGCGGTGACCCTACTCTGATAGCCATTCGCAGCACGGACTATTGATAACGAGACGAGAATTCGAGCTGCCATTTTAGCAAGTGCTACGTGGCGTCCATAGTTACTACCAGCATGTCAGAAGACTCTCTGAGGAAGAAACCTAGGCTCAGTGAAGGACCTCAGTGTTTTGCCTTTAACTGCTATAACTATCGGAACGTGCACTTCAAAGAACGCGGTCTTACGTTTCATTGGTGAGTATTGGTGGGATTAACCAGTATAAATGAAGGTTGAATTAGGCAATCATTGGCTCTTAAACAATGAAAAATGGCATTTTCACCTTTTTGTCTTGTTTGGTGATGGCCAGGTGAAGCACTGAAGCTATAAGTTGGAAAATGGTTTGTTTCTCAGAGCTTCAAAACAGTATTTCCCACGGTTTAACCAGAGATTTCATGAACAAACAAAATAAAATTAACTTTAAAAAATAAGAGATTTGTGTTCATTTGTTGTAACATAATGCTTCTTGACAATGTATTTTACTTTTATATTATTGGAAAGTCCCCTTAAATGGTACCACGTTAGTAAAGCAATTTGTGGGTTGAGCAGCAGAGTTGAGTTTGTGGATGCACTGATGAAAAACTTGCCAAATTTGCCATTACCTAACAGTCTTTTCTGCTATTAAAACTTATTCTGTGTTGTTTATTGACTTGAATGATTAAAGTCTGAAAAAATGAAAACGAAACAGGACATATTGTCAATTAACAGTTTATTTAACAAACAGGGGGTGCAGTGGCATGTGGAAGAACCTTACACAGCCACAACAGATAGGCACCTCCTCTTAATGCTGCTGGTCACACAGCTTTAAATCTCATTCTTCAGTCAGCATTTCTTGTGAGTCAGCCAGTGTGGTTGTGTTGGCCACTCTGGAACCAGCAGCTGATCCCACAGATGTTCAATGAGGTGAAGTTTGCAGTTGGGTGATTGCTACGGGGTGCCGTTTGTAAAGTTACACAGTCAAACATTAACAGCAATATTTTGGTTTATTTAGCCTTTCATAAGAAAAAAAAGTAGGTTTTTTTTTTTTTTCAAAGTCATATGCCCACGTGGGTAATGACAGTGTGACCTGGATGGGCGTGATTGGTAGGACCAGCCTCTCTGATCTGAACCCGAGCGGTGTTCTATTGTTGAACTTATGTGCTAGTCATAGTTTGTCCATCACGAACACCATGTTCGAACATAAGGGTGTCCATAAGTGCATCGATCGATGATTGACTTCATAGTTGTGTCATCTGATTTGCGGCCATTTGTTGTGGACACTCGGATAAAGAGAGGAGCTGAGCTGTTAACTGATCACCACCTGGTAGTGAGTTGGATCAGATGGTGGGGGAAGATGCCGGATAGACCCGGTAGACCCAAACGTGTAGTGAGGGTTTGCTGGGAATGCCTGGAAAAAAAACTTGTCAGAGAGATCTTCAACTCACCTCCGGGAGAGCTTTAACCGCATCCCAGCTGAGGTGGGGGACATTGAGTCTGAGAGGGCCATTTTCTGCACCTCGCTTGTTGAGGTAGCTGCCTTGAGCTGTGGCCACAAGGTTGTCGGTGCTTCTCACGGTGGTCATCCACGAACTTGGTGGTGGACACCCCGGGTTAGGGAGACTGTCAATTTGAAGAAGGAGTCTTATCGGCCCTTGTTGGCCAGTTGGACTCTGGAGGCAGCTGAGGAGTACCAGAGGGCCAAGCGGTGTGCAGCCTTGGCTGTTGCTGATGAAGGTGGGGTGCTGTTGACCTCAACCAGTGATGTTGTCGGGAGGTGGAAGAAATTCTTCTCGGACCTTCCCAATCCCACCAGCACGTCTTCCATGGAGTAAGCTGAGTCGGGGGACTTTGAGGTTGAACCGTTGATAACCTTGGCTGAGGTCGCCGAAGTAGTTAAAAAGCTCCAAGGCTGCAGGGATCCGGGAGTGGATGAGATTCACCCTGATTTCCTTAAGGCTTTGGATGTTGTGGGGCTGTCTTGACTGACACACCTTTGCAACGTCGCATGTAAATCGGGGGCAGTGCCACTGGACTGGCAGACTGGGGTGGTGGTTCCTTTCTTCAAAAAAGGGGGACCGGAGGGTGGGCTCTAATTATAGGGGCATCACTCTCCTTAGCCTCCCTGGTAAGGTCTATTCAGGGGTACTGGAGAAGCGAGTCCGATCGTTGGTCGAACCTCAGATCCAGGAGGAACAATGTGGGTTCCGTCCTGGCCGTGGAACAATGAATTAGCTCTTTACCCTCACTAGGGTCCTTGAGGGGTCATGGGAGTTTGCCCATCCAGTGTTTTTTGGACTTGGAGAAGGCATTCGACCGTGTTCCTCAGGGTACACTGTGGGGGGTGCTCCGTGAATGTGGGCTTGGAGGCCTGTTGTTATGGGCTGTTCAGTCCCTATACAAGCTGTGCGAGAGTTTGGTTCGCATTGCCGGCAGTAAGTCGGACCCCTTCAGGGTGGGAGTTGGACTCCGCCAGGGCTGCCCATTGTCACCTATTCTGTTCATAACTTTTATGGGCAAAATTTCTCGGTGCAGCCAGCTGGCGGAGGGTTTCCGGTTCGGTGGCCTCAGGATTCTTTCTCTGCTCTTTGCAGATGATGTGGTCCTGTTGGCGTCATCGTGCCGTGATCTTCAGTTCTCAATGGAGCCGTTTGCAGCCAAGTGTGAAGCGGCTGGGATGAGAATCGGCACCTCCAAATCTGAGGCCATGGTCCTCAACTGGAAAAAGGTGGATTTCTCTCTTCAGGTCAAGGGTGAGGTTCTGCCTCAAGTGGAGGAGTTCAAGTATCTTGGGGTTTCGTTCACGAGTGAGGGAAGAATGGACCGTGAGATTGACAGACGGAATGGTGCAGCATCTGCAGTATTGCAGACTCTGTACCGGTCCGTTGTGGTGAAGAGAGAGCTGAGCTGTAAGGCAAAGCTCTCTGTTTACCGGTCGGTCTACATTCCTTCCCTCACCTATGGTCATGAGCTCAGGGTAGTGACCGAAAGAATGAGATCACGGATACAGGCGGTTGAAATGAGTTTTCTCCGCAGGGTAGCTGGAGAAGTTCAGTTATTCGGGAGAGACTCAGAGTAGAACCGCTACTCCTCCACGTCGAGAGGAGCCAGTTGAGGTGGTTCGGGCATCTGGTAAGTATGCCCCCTGGGCGTCTCCCTAGAGAGGTGCTTCGGGCATGTCCAACTGGGAGGAGACCCAGGACACGCTGGAGAGACTCCGTTTCTCGGTTGGCCTGGGAACGCCTTGGAATCCTCCCAGAAGAGCTGTAAGATGTGGCTGTGGAAAGAGATGTCTGGGCCTCCCTGCTCAAGCTGTTGCCATCATGACCCGACTTCGGAATAAGCAGAAGATAATGGATGGGTGGATGGATTTTCATGTCATTTTTCATACATTTATAACAGTCATAGTTCCAAACTTAATATTTAATTTTCAAGCTAAATATTTAATTTCTAAGCTAAACATTTAATTCCTAAACTAAATATTTAATTTGCTAACTAAATATTTAGCTCAAAACTAAATATTTATTTTCCAAACTAATCATTTAATTTCCAAATTAAATATTTAGTTTGCTAACTACATATTTAGCTCTTACCTAAATATTTAACTTGCTAGCTAAATATTTACCTTGCAAGTTAAATATTTAGGTCTGAGCTAAATATTTAGTTTAGGAATTAAATGTTTAGCTTGGAAATTAAATGTTTGGGTTTGAAAATAAATATTTAGCTTGGAAATTAAATATTTTATTTACGCCTAAATATTAGTTTACTAACTAAATAATTAACTTGCAAGTTAAGTATATAGTTTGTAAACTAAATATTTAGCTTGTAAATTAAATGTTTAGTTTGGAGCTATGACATTTATAAATGTATGAATAACATGGTGAAAATAAGATTTTGAAAAAAAAATTATGAAAGGCTAATAAACCAACATATTGCCGTTAATTTTTGACTGTAACTTTACAAACAGCAACCCATACATTCCATCCTCTCCACTCTCAAATTCTGAGCATTATTTAGCAATTTTTTCAAGAGCGCAGTCCACATACTCAGCTCTGCTGCTCAACCTGCAAATGCATTTTTTTTTTAAATATGGCACAGTTTAATCAGGCTTTCCAACAATACAAGATGTATTGCCCAAGAAGCATTGTTGCAACACTTATCAACCAAACACAAATATCCCTTTTCCTGCAATTTTTTTCTTGAAAAATATGGTTTGGCAGTTATTATTCTAACAATTATATGAGGTTTATTTTTTCTAATTGGTTTCTAAAGTATTGCAACAACAGCTATAGTTAAACAATTCTTAAAACATTTACTTAGTAAGGAAATTATCTACTTCAGCAGTAGAAAAAAATGCACTTGGACTGAACACAACAGATGTCATTTTTGTTGTATTATCCGTTTCTCCTGTTTAGTCGACGTGAAACTCTTTAAATTCTGGGGATACAGCAACTTTAAAAAGGTTCAAACATTTTTGTGTTTTGTCCTGCACGCCAGACAAAATTCAAACCAAAGAAAGTTTAACTAATTTCTGCACTATGGAACCTTATTAGTGACATCAGCTGATAATTATTGATAATTCATTTAAAATAATGCCCAAGTGTTTTCATAATAAAACTTAATATTAAAAAAAAGTTAATAGGTAAAATAAATCTTTCATAATAATGATGTAGTAGCATAAAGTTGTGTCTTGAAATGTGCACAGTTGATTAAACTTCCAACTCTTTAGCACGGAGGCTGTACACAGAACCATGAATGACCACAAATACTTTACGTCTTCTTCATTTGGATGTTTTTAATAGTGATTTAAATCACTCATGTAATAAAGATTTTATAAAACTAAAAAAATTAATAAAAATATTGCCACATTAGTAAATATCTTTGCGTTGCTCGTTGCTGATTTTCTGCCACCACTTGATAACTCACAGAGCAGCTGCATTTTTATCTACTTTAAAAGATGCAGAAACAGATGAGCTGTCTGAAATACTCTATAAATGACCCGGTCATCAACAAGCGAGCATCTAGACAAGGTGCATTATGCCTGAAGTCCCTGCTGACTGATCACTGCCATGCCTCACATGGATCCTGTAAATTCACCTGAATCGTTTGTTTTGTTGTCCATTTCAGTTTCCCAAAACAAAGCAGGGAGCCAGACAGATATAACCAGTGGGTAAAGGCTTGCCGGAGAAGTGACAGCCTGCCGACTAAATGGTCCCTTCTATGCAGCGACCATTTTACTGATGCAGCCATGGATCGCACAGGACAGACAGTTCGCCTGAGAGAGGGCGCCGTGCCTACTATATTCAATTTCCCCGCACATGTTAAGGTGAAATCATTTCAGTATTTACCTTCACTTCAGTGTCAGCAAGTTCAAAAACAAGTTGCTCAATGTATCATCTGTTTTATTTTATAGAAACAAACAGAGCCAAGTGAAGCTACGCCAAATCAGACCATAAGCTCTAAAACTGCGGCACTGCCCCCACCTGACGCCTCTGACAAAAGTGACACTGTCCCTGCTCGCCTTCAGATTAAAGTCTTTTACAGCATTCACATTCACTTTAGTATCCGCGAGTTAAAAAGTATGTTTTTCAATGTAATATCTGTGTTATTCTACAGACGCAGACTGAGTCGAAACAAACTAAGCCAAGGCGAAGATCTAAAGCTGCAGAATTGCCATCTGACGCCGCTGACAGCAGTGTTCAGGTTGACTCTTTTTATTCTGTATTTTCACTTCTATGTCAGGGAGCCACCTGCATCATGAAGGACCCCACTCACCCAGCACACACGCTTTTTGCCCCGCTCCCCTCAGGAAGGAGGTTGAGGAGCATTAAGTGTAGAACCACTAGACTGAGGAACAGCTTCTACCCTGAGGCTGTTAGACTCATGAATCTCTAACTAGAATAATCACTGTGAAAAATCACATGATGTTGCTGCTGATCTGTTTCATGCTGCTGCTGATCTGTTTCATGTTCATGTGTTCATTTGTGCTCATCTGCTCTCACACTCATGTTCGTGCTGCTGTTCGGCGTAATGTTTTTATGCTACTAGTGCTTTAACGTTTTTCTTAGTTCATATCTTAGATCTTATTACTGTTTTTTGTTTACATTTTAATACTTTTGTTGTATGTAACTGGGACCCTGTGTACACAATTTCGTTCCACCACGTAGTGAAATTACAAATGAAGAACCTTGACCTTGATAAAAATTGATTTTTTTTTTTTTTTTCTGTGTATCTTTTTTTTTCTACAGGCAAAAACTAAGGCAAATCAAGCTCAGCTGAGACGAACTAGAAGATCTAAAGTTGCAGGATTACCTCCACTGGATGCCTCTGATACTGACAGTGTCTCTGTTCATGTTCAGGTTCACTCCTTTATACACCGTATACAAAGACATAATCATTTCCACTCCCCTACTGTCTGACATTAAGAAAGACTAAATCTTTCCTGTTTTAGGCTAGTTAGGATGGACAAAATTGTTTCTATTTGATAAATGCCCAATGGGAGAAATTTTTTTATTACGTCCTTAGTACTTGGCATCATCGTCCATGTGACTCCAGACAGAACTGGTGGAACTGAGTCACAATTGTAGATTACCTTGTTCCCACACGTTTTCAACTCTACCCAGAAATTTTCTATAGTGTTGAGATCAGGATGTTGTGACTCCAAAACATTCACTTTGTTGTCTTTAAGTCACTTTGTAACTAGGCCTGTCGCGATAAACAATAAATCAATTAATCGCATGATAAATGAAAATTATCAACCTCATTTTCATTTATCAGCTTTGTCGTTTCTTCACGTCTCTCTCTTTCTACAGAAGACACTGGATGACAAAAGGCTCCAGTGCTCTTCACTGACACCCTCCCTTTCTCTTTTCTCTTTAAAATCTGTTTTAACCGTCTAAAATCACATTTTTGGATCGTTAAACGCAGCTAAGCTGAGACGCTAAGCTACAAGCTAAACTTACAGGATGACCTCGGGGGGGGAAAAAAACCTCCATCTTGTCAAAGCTCCAAAATTCATGTTGAAACCCGTGCCTTCATCTAAAAAGTAGTTTTTCTCTGCAAAAAGAAGCTGAGAACTTGATTACTGATTTTTTTTAATTAAAAGCTTTGGGTGAAAAATGTTCTGCTAAAGAGCTCAAACCACACAGAGCGTTCGCCATTTTGAGAACCGAAAAACAGGAAGGAGAGACAGCCCATGTCACATCAAGGGGCCTCCCTCCCATTTTTCTTAGACACGCTGCTCACTCCCTCACTATCCATCCTTCAGTTCAAACAGTCTTATACTGCTATCCAGTGGTCAAAAAGGTACTACATTCAAAACAAATTAAACATTTCTTCTTAAATTTGACAATAATTACTAATTATTGTCAAATTTAAACAATATTATCATTTATCGCAATAATTTCTGAGACAATTAACCGCCCAGCAAAATGTATTATTGTGACAGGCCTATTTATAACTACTGTATATTTAGGACTATAAGGTGCACCAGATTATAAGTCTCATTAAGCGAAACAAAACAGATAAGTTGAACTGTATTCAACTTATTTACAAGAACCACATAAAATCAGTTTGAGGTCATGAAGTACAACCAGAATTAATACATAAGGTGCACCTGATTATAATGCTCACTGTTGATTTTTGAGAAAATTAAAGGATTTTAAGTGTGCTTTATAGTTTGAAAAATACAGTAATATAGCAGAATGTTTAGTCATTGTCCATTTGACGACCCATTTGTGCCCAAGCTCTAACTTCCTGGCTGATGACTTGAGTTGTTGCTTCAATAATTCCATATAATGTGCTTTCCTCTTGATGTTGTCTATTTTGTAAAGAATACCAGTCCCTCCTGCAGTAAAACACAACGCCAGGGTCAGAGTTTCTTTATTGTCATTCATGTGGCACATGTGGTGGAGCGAAATTATGTACACAGGGTCCCAGTTACATCCAACAATAAAATGTATAAGAAAAACAGTAATAACATCTAAGATATGAACTAAAAAGAAAAAAAACTAAATATACACTAAGCACTCATAACATAAAAACATTACGTCGAACATCAGCACAAACGTGAACATGAGTCTGTGTGAGCAGATGAGCATGCATGAACACATGAACATTGAAACAGATCAGCAGCAACATGAAACAGATCAGCAGCAACATGAAACAGATCAGCAG